TTGAATAGAAATAAATAAAAAATTTCATAAAAAATCACTGAGAAAATTAAAATAAAAATGTTAGATGGAAGAGTATAAAATTAAAGTACCAAAAGGTTAGAAGAAGATAATATTTTAAATACAAATTGATCAGTGTATGTTTATTGGTAGAGATATAGTTAAAAGTAACTGAACTTATTAGTTGCAAGCTACTGAAGAAAAGTGGAATACTATTTTAGAAAAGCAAAGCATGTGCATCATTAGAGAGACTAATGGGATTTCAGCATAAGTCATGTCGAAAAAGTTCCACTTAATTTTATTAAAACCTCCTCCAATTGTGTAAAAGCTCGATTTTATCATTTCTTCCTAAAACAAAAACTATTTTTATAAACTTTTATATTCAGAGTATTTTACCTCATTTCTCTTTTTAAAGAGAAATAAAGTCACAAAACATGTTAGACCAAACACTACCTAAATAAATCATACTATTCCAAAGTCGGTTACTGAGATTTAAATCAAAGTCGTTATTATAACGTGAAATTTCAAATAAATAGATATGATTATAATTAAGGAAATATTAAATTATCAATGGATTTAGATATACGATAAATTTTTATTATCGATAAAAATATTCTTAGAGAAAAAAAAGTAAAGTATTGAAAGATAAATCCGTCGAAGAATATTAACCAATAATATAATTAAATACAAAGGTTAATATGAAAATAAAATCTTAATAATATATCAATCTAATTTTCATTATATATATATATATATATATATTTTTTTTATGATTCTAACCCTCAAATTATAACTTGTATGATATTTACCTATTATCAATCTTCTTAAAACTACTAATGTGGTTTGGTGTGTATAGTTTTTGATTAATTAAGTTAATGCCTAAACTAAATGCTCAGTTTCTCTTAGAAAATGATGATAAATGTATTATTCTTTGGCTAGCTTAGTAGTAAGAGTAATAACAAAAATGAGTTTGAATAATTTGATGAGTAAATTATATACAATGTAAACAATAGACCAATTTACAAGTTAGATATATTTATTGGGTTGATATTGCTATTTCACTTATTTTCGAGAGATTTGGGATCAACATAAGTTAGTTGCATGAAATTAGCTTTGATGACGTGAATATTGAATAGGGAACCACTCATCTTCATATAAAAGGTTTCTTAGTTATTAGTGGAAGCTAACCACTTTCTTAGTAAATAGTATCATCATATGCATTTCCAAGTGCCAATTGTTATCATTTATCTCTTAAATTTTAAATTGTAGATAACTGAAATTTTCAGCTAAGCCTATGCATTATAATTAAATCCAGTACTAGTGTTAATTATTTTAATTATTAGATAATATTAGAAATAATAATAACTTATTTAAAGTTATTGTTTACACGTCTTTAAAAAACATAATTGTTGTTGTAAATTACTAATTATTTACTAAGTTTTGTATTATCCATTTTGTTCTCTTCCTTCTCTCATATATTTTGTTTTAAAATTTTGAACTTTTTTTAACTTGTGCAAATTTGTGTAGTTTCTTTTAATAACTTTAGGATAATTTTATTTTTTATGGGATATGTTAAAAGATGGAAAATTGTATCTTATTTTAATATTTTTTAGTCATTTTGTAAATTTTTTATTTATTTATGTTTATATAATAGTTTATTTATTTATTTATTTTCTGTTTTAGACTTTATCGACAAATTTTTTTATAAAAATATCATTGGTAATAATCATAAAATAAAAGTTAAATTTAATTTTATTGACAAAATTTTTTATAGATAAATTTACAAGAAATTATTGAAAAAATGAAAATTCATGATAATTATTGATAGTATAATTTTTATTTTATATATTTGTAGGTAATTACTGACAAATCTAAAAATTTCATTTGTAAAAATTATCATCAACAAAATTACAGATTTTTTTTATCATTGATAAGTAATATTTATTTTGAAATTTTAAAATTACTATGGATTTTGTCGGTCGTAAATTTGTTTTCTTGTGGTATATTACTTAATACTTACGAAATAGTTTTATTTAGGAGCTATCATTTCGTTTACAAAGTAGAATTTTAAATTATATTTATTATAATAATATTATTATAATTAATTATTAAGTTTTAAATATTATTTGTTTTAAAATTTTAATGTGATAAGAGTGGAAATTTTATTATTATAATAGATATTAATGTTTTGTCTAAAAATAATCTCATATTCATATAATGCATCTTAATAAATGGAGAGAAAAAGATATATACAATTATTCTTTGACTTTAATTGAAATTACACTCATCACTACATGACAATACCTACTAAACATTAATATATTAATTTATAATAAATATTAGATCAGTGATACTTTCACAATGTAATCATTCAACAACCAAAAATATTAATATAATAATAAATTTTAATACTATATTTTAGTGTTTGGGATGTGAACAATTTTTTTCCCGATATTATATCACATTCTTTATTTCTTTACATAGATTCATTTATTACAAATATCCTTATAGAAGATGCTTAAAAAAAATTGGAAAAAAAAACCATGGAATATTAAATAAAATTATTTTTCAATGATAAGGAGACCCGTTCACATTGTTTTTTCATGGCTTCTCTAAATGAAGCTCATGAACATAATATTATAGTCGGTATCTCTGAAAAAACAGACAACATAGACCTTTAGGCATTCAACGCCAACTGTTTCGAAAGCAAAGAGTCTTTGTGTAATCAAACATTTGCATATCTAATTAACCATTTTGTTTTGGTGCAAATATTTTACTATTGAACTACGAACTTAAGAAAAAGGGTGAAATATAAATGACCTAATTGATGACAATGGTGCATGCCACTCCTTACTTTATTTCAAATCAGTAACCCACTCCATTAAGGGACAAATCGATCCATCTACTTTATCAACCTACGCATGATCCTTTCAAGATCTTGTGTTTGAAACTTAATGGGACGAAAGCCCACCATTGTTGAAGCTCTCCTAGGAAAGACACATGTTTTGGTGCTGCTTTAATTTAACACTTCGCCACTTGTAAAAGCAAAAGATGTAAAGTAAACCAAGAAAAAGAACACAATGGATGAGGGGTCCCCATCTCACAAATTTCATCACTTCTCAGTTTTATGAGTTTCCAAATGTTACGTATTTTCAGGGACAACATCAACATATTTATCAAAATAAAACAATTCAATCTAAAATATTTTAAAAATAATTTTGTGTATTTTTATCATGTTATTTATTTTTTGTAAAATTTCAATTCATTGTATACATAGTAGCAAAGTCAAATATTTTGCTGTTTGCCTCTTCATAGTTGATAGATATCTATAAAATATTGTGGCAGATTTTAGTAATTGATTCTGAGAGTACCAATTAATATATTATTATTAAATAATAAAAAAATATATAAAAATATAAAAAAATATAAAAAAATATGAAAAGATGAGAACTTAAATTTATAAATATACAATTATATATATTTACTAATTAAGTTAAAATTTTAAGAATAATAAAAGATTAAAATTATAAATATTAATATAAATTACAAATATTTGGGATCATGACCGGCCTCATCTTATAAGATCTATTACTGATTAAATAAAAAAAATAATAAAGGATTGATTTTATAATAAACTTTGATTCTCATGATAATGATGCTGATTATGATCATTTTATTTGCCGGGTTGGATAGAGCATTTCAGAAACATAATTTTTTTAGAGTATTATTTAATGTTACATGATAGATATCACATAAAAATATTGTATTTTCAATATATTTCTTTTATTCTAAGTAAGGAAAAAAATGGTAATTAAAACCTGTTAAAAAATATAATGTTAAAGAACTGATAGGTTGAATTTGAAAGATATTTTAATGATAGAAAAAGCACATCACCAAACTAGTTCAAGGGTTTTACAGCAAATACGTTGGACTTATAAGGTTAGTTTGGTAGTAAAAATTTACAAGAAATTGAATTGAAGAAGGAAGAGTCACATTTTTTATTTATGAAATAATTAATATATGATGATTTATTTCTATCCTTAGCATATTTATAATTGAATACGAAACTATTACTATTATTATTATAATAATAATAATAATAATAATATATAACCTACATTTTCCGTATTTTTTCATTGAATGATGTGGAGATACTCACCTTCTACGACTGATTAATTGAGATTTATTTTTTAATTTCTCAAATTTTATTTATTTTTAGCATGTTATGTTTCTGCATCACTGTAATAACTTTTGTTACAAAATTTAACTAAGCATTTTTAGTGAAATATTACATTTAATTGTATTTTTTTATTTACAATATTAGAATGCAATTTTTTTAAATAATTAAAACTCAATTTCCTTCTAACCATGAAATTTAAAAAAGTCAATCTATAGTCAGTTAAATTTATATCTTGTATCATATTATATGGTATATATCTATCAATGAAAATTTCTTTTTTATAATTGATTTTTGTTATAATTGAAGAGATAAAAATAAAAATATCATAAAGAAAACAATTATTATAATTTATATATTTTAAAAAATAGTAAACGGGGAGAGAAAAGAAATTTATAAAATGTATAAAAAATAATAATTATAAAGAAAATATGAGATACACGTGTTTTAGCGCATGGTCAGTTGTTAGCATAATTTGAAAGTATTGAAATAAAAAGAAGATAACAAAAAACCTTGTAAATTATTTGAAGAATAAACAACAAATGAGATTGAAGAATAAAAAAAAAATGAGAGTCTTGAATGGTTAAAATAATTGAAAAACAACTCCCCGCAGCAGAACCAAAAGTCACATAAAGATGAAGGAGATAGTTTATAGAAATGAAGAATATTATTTGATAAGCATTGTACGAAGCCGGCCTTACATAAAAACTCACGTCTTGACGAATCCTTCCATGAATCTCATTGAAAATTTACATGAAATAAACTGTCATGATTTGCTTCATTTTTCATTCACATTGCAAAGACTCAACATCTTTTCTTCAAAGCCATGCACACGCAACTGGCCCTGGTGTTGGTGTATGCATTGATTCATGTAGGAGCAATTACCGCACGTGATACGAAACTGCATGGCTGCATGGACACGTGTGGAAACGTTTCAATTCCATATCCATTCGGTGTAGGCACTTCTGAAACAGGTGAGAACTGTTTCTTTGAACAGAGATTGAATCTAACGTGCCAAGACAACATTTTGTATTGGGGTGTTGATTTGCAAGTTCTAGAAATATCCCTGAAAGGCCAAATGGACCTCTTGTTTTTTGTGTCCAAACTTTGCAATGATACCCCAAATGGAGTGGCCAATAAACCCTGTCTCATAAGTCCCATTTTCACCATTTCTAGCAAAGAAAACAAGTTCATTAATGTTGGCTGCGAGACTTTTGGCTATCTCAACAGCTTCTACAATGGCGTGGGATACTCAACAGGGTGCTTAACAAGATGCACCAAGTTCCCTGATATTGCAACCAATGGACACTGTTCGGGGATAGGGTGTTGCGAAGTGAATGTTCCTCCCAGCATGAAGAATATAACCATTGAATCATTTAGGTTCCGGTCTTCAAACTTCCAAAGCTGTAGCCATTCCTTCGTTGCCAAACATGGGTCCTACAACTTTGATATCAATCATATAGTGAAGCTTCCCTTTGACAGGATGCCTATGGTTGTTGATTGGAGTGTTGGAGATAAGGGATGCGAGTTCGTAAGGAATGGTTCAGTCAAAAGTGCGTGCATGAAGAATAGCCACTGTCATGACATTGACATCAGTCATGGATACCAATGCAGATGCAAAACAGGTTATGATGGAAATCCTTATCATCCCAATGGTTGCCAAGGTAAGGCGTTTTATCCAATATTTTACCAAACTACTTTACAAACCAACATTTTATTCATTAATGATGCTATTTAAGGAAGGGGTTATTTTTCCGACCAATTAACATGCAGATATTGATGAATGTAAGACAAAAAGACATACATGCATCAGTGAAAATCACTGTCTCAACACCGATGGGTCTTACGAATGCTTTTGTCCTCCCGGACAAGTTGGAGATGGAAAATTCGAAGAAGGATGCAGGCCAATCCAGCGGCAGAATTCTCCATCCAAGTTTGCTATTGGTAACAACTAAGATTTTTTTTTTTTTTTTTGTGTTTTAATTATGCAAATTCGTTGATTCTTTTTATTTTTCTACTGAACAAATTGCATTTGTTATAGAAATATCTGTGAACATAGGAGAAAGATGAAAAACATAACTTTAAGAAATATTTACTAAAAATATATTAAAAAAATTAAAGAGATGAAAAAAATAGTAAAAAGTTATTTACTTGAAAATGTTTTAGGGTTAAATAAGTTTTGGTAACTTCAAATTTTTTCATTAAACATAATTTTTATTTTTTATACCTAACATTTAATAAATACGTGGATTTAGTTATATCTTCAATTTGAAAGAAAGAAAAGAAATTGAGATAGAATAGAGAAGAAAACATATTTGTTGATTTGAAGAGAAAGTGATATGAAAATTAAAAATAAATAAATTTCAAAATAATAAATAATTATATAATTATAAAGTTATTAAAGCAAAAAAAAAAGATGATTTTGAAAAATATCACTTTCTATTACATTTTTCACTCTAATTCTAATAGAAAGTAAAACATATGAGTCCTAATAGAAATAACAATTTTTTTTACTTTCTTTACTAATAAATAAAGATTTTTTTTTCAATTTACTTTTACTATAAATTTTTCCTTCAACCGAACAAATCCTAATTTTGATAGTATCACTTGTGAGCATATTTGTAAGTATCTTATTAGAGATAAATATAATTACTATCATTGCCAAATTTACATATAAAAATAAATGTTGATATATAAAAAATATTACAAAAAATTAGAGATACCATACCGAAATCTTATTTAACCCAATATCCTGTTACACTTAATGTGAAGGTTATGTGTCATTTTTATGACAACAATTTAAAATTCACATGGTGAACAAGTGTATTTGTACGTGTACAAGAAATATGAATAATGCATAAATTTAAAACATTTAGGAAAATATAACTTTACTGATCATAAAAAAATACAAAATTATATATGCATAAGATGTTTAATTTTGAATAATCTCAAAGCTTAGTTCAATTAATGAAAGATTATTTTAAGGATAACTTAAACAAAGGAATCATAGTTAACATTGACCAAAGAATTTTTAGTACTGAATAATTAAGGAAATTGAAATTCCTCTAATTGGGATAACTAGATTAAGAGAGAAAAAGCATTGTGTTTAAGAGTTAGTATAGAAACCTAGAACTCTAAAGGCTACAGTGTTTTATAGAATGACGAATCAATAGTGCCATTGAGGTTTATATGAATAGAGTATTGAACTGTGCAATTTGATATGTTCCACCCATACTTCAATGCAGGTGCATGCATAGCTTTTACAGCTTTGCTGTTGATTTCCTCGTTATACTTAATGTATCATAAAAGGAAACTTAATAAACAAAGAAAAAAATTCTTTCGACAAAATGGTGGTTTCATTTTGCAAAAACGACTTGCTACACAACAAGACACTCCCTATATGGCACAAATTTTTCCAGCAGAAGAGCTGAAGAAGGCCACCGAAAACTATGATGAAAGGTTAATAATTGGCAATGGAGGTTATGGTACTGTTTTCAAAGGAATCCTTCCAAATAATAAGGTTGTTGCTATAAAAAAGTCCAAAGTAGTGGATCAGAGTCAAGTTGAGCAATTCATCAATGAGGTGGTTATTCTCTCCCAAATCAACCATAGGAATGTGGTAAAACTCATAGGTTGTTGTCTAGACACCGAAGTCCCATTGTTGGTGTATGAGTTTGTCAACAATGGCACCCTTTTCCATCATTTGCATGATGAAAATAAGGCGAGTATTATACCTTGGAGGATTCGTCTTAGAATAGCCACAGAGACAGCAAGAGCCCTAACATATTTACATTCGGATGCCTCCACATCTATTATCCACAGAGATGTCAAGAGTGCCAACATTCTATTGGATGACAATTATACTGCCAAAGTGTCTGATTTTGGAGCTTCAAGATTGGTTCCAATTGATCAAGCTGAATTAGCCACATTGGTACAAGGAACTTTTGGTTACTTGGACCCAGAGTACATGCAAACAAGTCGATTAACACAGAAGAGTGATGTATATAGTTTTGGAGTAGTGCTTGTAGAACTACTCACAGGAAAAAAAGCACTGTCCTTTCAGAGATCAGAAGAGGAAAGAAGTCTTTCTATGCTTTTTCTCTCTAACTTGGAAAATAAACGCTTGTTTAAAATTATTGAATTTGGTCTTTTGACTAAAGAAAATAAGATGGAGATCAAGAAATTTGCTATACTTGCAAGCAAGTGCTTGAACCTTAAAGGTGAAGAGAGGCCTAGCATGAAGGAAGTGGCAATGGAGCTTGAAGGGATATGGTTAACAGAGAAGCACCCATAGATTGGTACAACCATTGAATTGGAGGAGTCACAATGCCAGAATGGCAATAGCAGTAGTGATCGATGTTCTTTTGGTTTGATCTAACATTTAAGACTCAATATGCTTAATTTTTATTTTTTGGAGTTGTGGCAAGGGTATATAAGAAAATACACAAGGTAGCATGAAAAACAAAAGTTTGCTTGGATAAAGTGGGAAATTTGGGATAAACATTGAGACCATTTAACATGAAGTTCCAGGTTAATGATTGTGATGTATGAAGACACAGTAGGAACCATTGTTGTATAAGGTGTTACAATATAAGTACGAGAGAGTAAGAGGGGGATAAGGAAAAAGGGTAAGACTTGTTCTAATGCTGAGTACACGTAACTGTAACAATTACTTTTAATTGTTTTTATTGTTGTATAATATAACATTTGAAGAATAGTGAAGAGATTAAAATGGTGAGAGAGCCGTTATTTTTTATAAAAATTAATAATATAATAATTATTTTTTATTTATGATAACCATTTTTCTATCATTATGAAAAATGTGGATTCAGAGACACTATAGCATCTTTGTTTCCCCTAGTAATAGTAAAATAGTTCACATTAATACTTAACACAATATTGAACTGTGACAATGTAATTTGCCAGTTCGTGTTAATTAAATTAGATGTACTTATAGTAAAGAGTTAAAATGGGTAGTATTTGCATATTGAATTTATTATCCCTCTATACATATATATGGATCAAACGAAAGTATGTTTAATGACTCTCTTTGTATGTTTAATGACGTATCCCAATATAAATATTTCGGTAATATAAAAAATTTACTCACACTAAGTGATAAGGAATGCACTGAAGCAACCATCAATCACAAGTTTTTTGATAAATGGGTGGTTATTATTTCAAGCATAAAACACTGTTTGAGGCTCAATATTATCATCTAGCAACAGAGCCGATCAAGAAAAGTTTACCATATAATAATATATTATCATACAAAAGGTTCCTCAGAAGAATCACAACTAGGAGCTTGGCAATTTCAGATACTGGATTTGCCTCCTTTTGAGTACACAACAGAATCCCAAGATGGGTTCCGAGGAAGAAATGTGTCCTGCCAACAGTAGAAATTGTTACAAAACCAAAACATAAAGACCATACGCTATCAAAGCACAGAAAAGATGGATAAGTGCTAATACAAAAAGTTTGTAAGATTAGAACGGATCTGCCACATTTTAAGTACTGTATGTCACAATTTTGGAAAATAGGTGTGGGTAAAATATAATGCATATTTTTCAACCTCATAACGTAAACCTAAACATAGTTCATTGCTTGCTATAAAATGTGGAGTTATGGCAACCATTTCAAATATATTATTACCTGAAAGTCATCACTGAAAACAAGATTGATGGAGGGATCACCAAAATATTGTGCCAGATGACTCAGCACAAAAACTGGTGAGAATCAGACATTAGACAAAATTATTGTTAATACTTAGGCCAAGTGAGTCACCAATCCTTGTATTTCGGCTTTTAGGGTTCCCAGGTTTCTATTTCAGACCAAGTATAGCAGTATTAACCTTAAATTCTCCAATTGTGATATCCAATGCTTTCTTAAGATAAACAAACAGGTTTAGCGGCTGATGATATTACCATATAAGATTCACAAATAAACAGGGACTTTAAAGGAAGCTAATACTTAGATCAGGAAATTACACAATACAAACTAAGCATTCGATTAAATTGTAATCCGTGGCAATCTATACTTTGTCTTGGTGTTCTAATAATTATCAGCTAATCAACTATGTGTTATGAAGTATCCATTGGTGTAACTTCAGTTATGATACTTCAAAACTACCAAATTCAGTAGTACTGTAATTCTTTACGGTGGAGTAAAATTTGTGGACGATGCTTTGCTCCCTAAATGTGCTCATAATCATAGTCACAGACCCCGATTTTGAAACCTTGCTACAAAAGCAATGTAGTTTGGGGACAATGAAGCTCATAATTGAGTTTGCTTCTATTCCCACATAAATCTTACATTCTACAACCAATAATGGTTTCTAGTCCAGACAGACAATAATTTGCTGCTAGGATTCCTCAACCCTGCCATTCAAGTTGAGAACTATAAATACCATCAAGGATACTTGGAGAATACAGTTTAGATGATGGACTGTTGATAAAGCAACGCACAGCAATGAACCTATACTTTCTTTCCCAAGTAGACAAGAACTTCAGGGCTAGATCATTTACTAAAATGAAGGGCTTGAAAACTTGCCTACCACTAAACAGGGCCCCCATTGTAATTTAATCTATAAACTAACATACCCCAGTGTCACAGACTCCTCCATTTGCAGATGTATAGAAGAAGGTACTTGTACGCAACCTACCTTCCCCTTTCATGTGCAAAGAGATTGTTTCTGAATTCAAACCCATGACCAACCGATCACCAAGGCACAATTTACCATGTGTCAAAGCTCACCCTCATTATCAATATTCATATGCAAGGACTGAGGTTTGATTTCCGACTTGGGAATGAAATTGCAATTGGAGGTACCACGTTACACTAAGATGAACCCACCCAATAGGAGGAGATTAGTTGAGTGCCAAACAAGAACACCATATACGTCCTAGTTATACCAAAAAAGCTGACCCGCATAATTGAGATTCAATCTACAAATAAACCCATCTGAAAACCCCCAAAGCCTGGCACTTAAAACGTTCTGATACCATACCAATGAACTCATGAAAACAAGCATAAGCAAAAGGGTGTAATCTAATGTATCCACAAAGTTAGGTCCTTACAGAGACATAGGAGCAGGTGGGGATGACGAATAAGGAGTGGGATTGAGCATGGTGAAAGGCAGCGACACAGAGGTGGGAGGCCAAGCCTAGACCTCTCTTGGAAGGGGGCACAAAGGTGTGGACCAAATCCATGACCTTCCCCTTCTCTCTTAACACGTACTCCAAAAACGCCTCCTTGTCCTCCGTCTCGAACCTCTGCAAAGCTTCGTTCCATACGATGTTGTTGTTACTCTTCCCACCATCACCCTCACCCTCTGCCTCTGCTTTGCTCCTCGTCGCCATTTCAGCACTCTCTCCCCTCCCCTCACTGTAAAATGTGTTCTACGTTGGAAAATTGGGTTTAAATGTGTTTTTGTAAACGTAACGTACCATTTTTATAATCCTTACAAAGTTTTTAAATAAATTGTGATTAATCGGATTTTAGTTTTCATCTGCGCTCTTACTTTTTTTTTTTTTAATTTCAGTTAAAAACATGTAATTTTAGTCTCTTTTTAATTTGAATATATTTATTTACATTTTAATTAATGAAATATATTTTAATGTTACTTTTTAAATGATCTTAATGGTATTTTAAATAATATGTTAGGTTTAGGTTCAACTTGCAAATAAGAAAAAAAATGTGTATAATTAAGATTAAACCAAAAATATAATTTTTTTAAATCAAAGCAAAGAAAAAAAAGGGAATTAAAATTACGAATAAAATTTAAAGGTAGAAGTTAACAAATTTTTTTTGTCTTTTTTATTATTTTATTCTTTAGAATATATTTATTTCATTCTTAATATATATATATATATATATATATATATATATATATATATTCTTTTAGTTCATACTGTTCTATTTTTCAAAGAAAAAAAATATATTATAAAAAAACAAAAAATAGCATAGATATTACTAATACCAAAATGAAATAAAATTCTATAATATGACCATTTAAAAAAGAGGAAGACCTAAAAATCCAATATATAATGAGATTAAAACATACTTTGAACTTATAATATTTTGTAAATATAATTTATAAGGTGTAAATATATTTATTTTGTGTTATAAGAAATTTATAGAAAATGAATATAATTATATATAATTATCAACGAGCTAAGAATCGCCATTATTAATAATTCTATGACACAATTAACCTGTTGTTAAATAAAATTAAATATTTCAATAATTTATATTACCATTTTATTAAATATTATTAAATATTCATCAAGACCTAACTTCCACCGTAAAAAAAATTATACACCGGTGACAACATTAAATTTTTTTTTATAAAAATAACATGATATATTTTTCAGTAAAATTTGTATTTTTATTTATGAAAGTTAGTGTCCATGAAGTACTTTTGTAGGAAACTTACTAAAACTTTTTCTCAAGAAATTTAGTAAAAATTTCCATCCACCAAACATTAAAAAAATGTTACATGCGTTTTGAAGATCTGTTTTGCATAACTTCATAATACGTAAATAAAAAATTTCTTGTTATGAAGTTTTATAACTTGAGCCAGTAAATTTTAATATGATCAAGCTCCATTCACTTGTGAATACAGCGAATAATATTCTCCAACGGTATCTCAATCACAAATCAGAGCAACTCCAACGGAGTTGCGCCCAGTTGGTTATAAACAACATGCTTATAAAAAATTTCCTGGGATGTTATTTTCAATTTTGTTTTCAGTGGTTCTCACTAACATATTCAACAAATCAAAGAAAATATACTAAATACTCAATTAGAGTGTATTAATGTGTTAATATTCATTCAATATTTTTATTCTTATTTTTATTATTATTTATTTTATTTTAATAATTAATTATATATTATAATTATTATTCATTAATATAACGGATCTCATAAAAATAATAGTTAAATGGTAAATTACTTATAAAAACTAATTATTAGAATGAATTTGTAAAAATGTAAAGAAAATTCCTATATGACCCAGTAAGTCCTACTTAATAGTACTGAGGTATATTGTTACAAAAGCCTCCTATTGGAGATGATCTCATGCCCCCACAACACTCCCCGATCACAACACCCGAGACATAGACAGATAAAAATAAAGAGAATCAAAGTAAAAATACATGAGAAAAAAATAATTAAAAATAAGTATGTTTGGTTGGAGGAAAATATATAAATAAAAATACAAATAAGTAATCATCTATTATATACCATAAATTATATATAAGAATATAACAAATAGCGTTGCAACAAATGATCGATTAATGTATAAACATAATCGATCAGAATCGCAAAAAAACAACATAATCAGCTGTGCTTTTATCAGCATAAATTTTTTCGTGTTTCTTACATCACAATGGAAGTACGCAATGATGGATCACTCACTATTTCAAACCTACCATGCTACCCTTCGCCCCTATGTTCATCCATTTCTACTCTCTGGCGTAGTTCATGCGTGGCATTTTATTTTAATTGATGCTCGTCATTATTTGAGTTTTTTGCTCTATTTGCGTCACGTTGCAGTGACTTAATGATGTGAACATGACCTATAATAAGAACTAGAGTAAGAGAAATAAAGAAAACTCTTTAACAAATATTTTTTAGTTGACCAAATTATGTTTAAATTAATCAATTAATGAGTTTTAATTTGATTTTGTTTTAAGTTGTAATAAGAGTCCAATTGAAAATTTAGTTATTGGGAGACCAAGAGGTGCATAACTGATTGCCTTTTGGTTGTCACAATTTCAGATACAATCAGTCATTAAGTAGTTTTAATTCCTAGGTTAATGAATCATTATTAGCCTTTATTTGTTTTCATTAAATAATTTTCAATTCTTAGATTAATGGGTTATTATTAGTATTTATTTTCTTTTATTGAGTCTTTTGTAATTCATGACAAAGCTTCTATATCAGTTCGAACCATTCTTACAGAAATAACAAGTGAAATTTTATTCAGAATATTGAGTTTATCTCTTTTATCTTAGTGAGAGTGATTTTCCTAAATTCTTGAGTGATTCAAGAACCCTTGGCTGTATCAAATTCTTTCCTTCCACCTTCTTTCTAATTCCTAAATTTCTTACAAGGTTCTAACCCTAAAGATCTTAAATTACCCCTTGTGATTCATATCACTTTAAGGCTTGGAAAAATGCAACTTGTACATCTCTAGAGTGCACACGTGATATGCATGTGAATAATGTCCTCAAGGCACTATGTTTGGAAGTCTTTATTATATTCCCACTGCCATGAGGCAATATAAATTGCTGAGGACCTGAGATTCTTTATTCTTGGAATGTGATGTGATACCTTTTCTTCCTTTCACTAAATTAATTTGTATCTTCACCACAAGGGGTTAAACAACTGTTTCATTTCGTTCTAATAGAGTTGTAAACGTGAGAATAATCCTAATTTCATGAAAGTTCAAATTGCAACTAAGATAGCCAAGTCATCAATGGTTTTAACTTTTACCAGCTATATTGTATCAATAATTAGTGATTCTGCACAACAAGCAAATATCATATCACTATGCAGCCAAAGAAATAAGTAATCCATAGGAAAATACTCCATAAAACTGATGGAGTTTGGATACAGGGTTTGTGAACGAAAATAAATGAAATAATAGCAATATACCAAAGAAAAATATCTCCCATTTCAAATACAAGCCTGATAATAAAAAATACTGGCCTACCAAGTATTACCGAGTTGTCTCGTTTTAATCAGCACGAGATTGGCCTGCTCGAGATGAGAGGATGATACCCACAATGAGGCCATAGAGCGCAAGAGCTTCAGCGAAAATCAAAATAAGAATCATACCAACAAACAGCTTCGGCTGCTGGGCATTAGCCCTGACAAAAAAGGAATCATCTTAGTGTTCAAGTATTGGATCAGTTAACAATAACACATCGATCTATAAGGAAGACTACCTTTAGCTGGGAAATGCAATCGTGCAGACACATGCACACAACTCGAAGGTGGAAAATCAATATAGCAAGGCATAAAACTATAAAACAACGAGAAACGACCAAAAGGGAATAAATTAAGAATCAAACGGCTACATAAGCATTGAGAAAATGAAAATGAAAATGGTGGCAGAAGCAGGGTTATTTACAAGAACCTTCCATTGTCAACGACTATATAAAGAAGGCAGCAGCTGAAATGTTTGCGCTCAATATATCTTTTAATTGAAAAACAACATAAAGTAATGTGTAAATTGCAAATTAGATAATTATCTCAACGGGTAACACATTAATCTATGAATTTTCCTTTCTAATAACAATCACTTGAAAAGGCAAAAGTAGGTCTTCATTCACATAACACAAGGGATGAAAAGTCAATATAGCCATCGCCTAGTAATTAAATTGATAGTATTTTACCCTTTCACGTAAAAAAACATGTTAAATAGAAAGAGACGCAGCAGATTTCTTTCATCAACTCAAATCACATTAACCACACAAGCAACATGCTTAAATATTTCTTAAGTCCACAAGTTAATGAAGACAATATACATTAAGACAGATTACACTCCAACAACATATAACGAACAAGCAAATACACAACATTGGCAGCAGGAATTGAACAAGCAGAAATATCCACAATACGGCTATTTAGCTGGCATTAGTCATTACAAATTTCCACATCAGCAAAAGAAAGCCTCAATATAAGCATGTATATAGATAATTGTACAAAATTCATTAGAAAAAACAGAATATGTGTAATGCAGCTAACCAACCTTAGGGGTGATACTGCATAAGTAAAATAAATAGGACACTGATTCTCAAAAATGTCTCTCATTCACAATTTAGTCCCTGTTTCAATAAGTTTACAATTCAACACCTTGATCACACAAACATGATTTATAATCCTTTAGCTACATGTTTCATGATCAACAGAAAATGATTTGAATAACAAAAGTGAACTAAAACATAAAACAGATCAAGGACAAAATTGCAAATACAATGCATTTCAATGCCCTCAAGCAATATCAAAGGTTACTTACCAATTAACATTAAGATAGTAATGGCAAACATCAAGAAACATAAGACCTTTAAAACACTGTTCAGCACCATATACTTTACAAAACAACAATCTAATCAATTTCACTGCTTGCAGTCATGACAGTTACCAATGGACAAATTAGATGCAACTGTATTGTTCTCCAATCAGAACTGGAGGTTTTCACAGATAATCTATGCTGGCTTTCATGCAAAATTTTGTTACATGAATTAGTGAGGTAATTAGAGAACAACTTAAAAATACTTAAGATGCAAGTTCTATGCTATTTTTTTTATTTCCCATAAGTATCCTTCCTCAAAATAATATTGTTCAAGATACGGTTAAGCGGTAAATGTGGATAACTCTCCCATTGGGAATTCAAACCTTGATTCACCACATTATGGGAGACAACTTTTCCACATGACCCAATCCCCATCAAATTACATTGAATAATTACTTATATTTTGGAAACTATTTCTAAGGTCTTACTCTTAAAATTTTGGTTTAGACATAATTCAACTTGGATTGGAAAAATAACTCATGAACAAGGTCTACCCCAAATTGATATACACTATTTAGACCATATCACTATTCAATATGGAAGTGAGCTTTGTCTCCGACTCATATGCTTCACTTTCATCATATTAGAATCAGTGTTAGATTTCCAACAATTACAACAGTTTATATTCTACAAGTGTCCATAGGTATGCGGATGAATTACCTAACACCAGCATCCCCCACAATCCCAATGGCCATTCCAGCAGAGAGGCCAGCAAGGCCACAGGCAAGGCCAGAGGACAAGTGGGCATAGCCATCAAAGAGATAGTAAGACTTAGCCTTGGGGTTTATCCCAGTGCTAATGATAACCGCAATAATCAACCCATAAATCCCCAACACTCCAGCCATAACCACCGGCACAATCGACTTCATCACAAGCTCCGGCCTCATCACACCCATCGAGGCCACTCCCACCCCACTCTTCGCAGTTCCGTACGCCGCTCCCATACCTTCCAATCATTGAAAAACAAAAAATCATATCATCGTCATTATCATTATCGTTATCATTAAATTGAATAACCAGAGAGAGAGAGAGTGGGAGGCAAACAGGAGAAAACGAGAGCCGCGGCAGCGCCGAGGAAGCCGAAGAAAGGAGCGGTTTCGTCGCCACTGAAACCTGCCATGGATTCGAATCGATTCCTCTGTAAGATGATGAAACTTTATCTCTTTGATCTTCGTGGAAGAAGAAGAAGAATGATGAAATTGATTGGGTTTGCAAGAGATCAGATCAAAGTGGAACGTGGAAATGAATTTCAATCCGGAAATAAATTTATTTATTATTATTATTATTATTCGGATTGGTACAGGTGGAGACAGGTTGCAGCATGAGAGCGAAGGGTCGTCGTCTGTGATTTTACAGTAATACCCTTTTTCTCTTCCGAGGCTTTTTGTTTCATTTTTGTCGTCATAATGGGCTCAGTCTCGATTTAATGTAATTGCCAGGGTGGGCTTGGCCCTTCTAGTTTTGTTTAGTATTCCCGTTGACCAAAGCAGAAAATAGAGTAATTTATTTTTTCCTTTTCTTTTCAGAGATTTTTTAGATAAAATTTACTAAAAGATAAAATATGTGATATACTTGAATCTATTTTTAACATAAATGAATTCTTGAATAGAATTTTTTATGATCTTTGCTTCTTTCAACTCTTTTATTAATTATTAATAACTAGTTTCAATTTTTTTTAAACGTCACAGTAAAATCTTATCATAAATTTCTCATATATTAATATTGAAGAGTGATCGGAATTTACACTTTAATACATTTTTTCTAATGTATGTATTATTTCCTATGGATTCAAAATTATAAAATCACAAAGAGAGGTTTATTAAATAAGGTGTGAAAACTGATAGATTGTAAGTTTCAACCCATGACAGAGACCACACAAAATAATATGTTTTTGTCAATTTCATTAATATTACGTGGTAAAACTGGACTTTAATTTCTTAAGCAAATGTGAATTTAAGTTTTATGAATGAAAAATATATTATTTAAACTAAAAAATAGTATAGGACTTCTTAACATATATTAATTATCTTATCTATAAAATTAGTAGATATTTTATGCAAACAAAATTGAAAAAAATATATTAATAAAAATACACAATACAAATTTTTCATTAAATTGATTTTATTATTATTTTTTTAAATGATACACAGGTATCAAATTTATCCTTATGTGATCCTAAAAATTAGTTTTATGATTTTTTTAACCGGTTACCTTACAGGGGCACACGTTTCTTAACCAGCACCATCCTTAACAGTAAGATAATTATTTTAATATATTGACATATTTTTATGCATAAAATATTTTCTTTGGGAAACAATAAACTAAACGCAATGATGAGACTTAACCATCGGTAACGCACACCAAACACTACAAAGTTGCCTCTTTTTTCAACGAAGATGCTTTTAGACACAGTCCAACCCTGGTCCTTCTGCCTGTGTCCGAATTCCACACTTTCCCCACATCCATAGCCTCTCACCGACATGGCCGATTCCAAGGTGGAAACCATTGCACGCTTGGCCCAATGGAAAATCGACAACTTCGGACCCTGTTCCTACAAAAAGTCCGACCCTTTCAAGCTCGGAATTTGGAACTGGTACATACATCACAGCACACCCCTCTGTACTACTACTTTGATTACTGACTTGTGTTGTGAATGATTGTGCCTGAATTGTCATCTATGTATGCATGTATGTTTGTATCTATGTGTGTATTTGCTGTTTGATGTATGGTCTATTATTCCCAGGTACATTTCTATTGAGCGGAACAGGTACCTCTACATACACATTTTTCCTGAGCCTTCTCGGCTTTCCAAGGAACAGCCACCTGTGGCCCGTTTCATCCTGCGAGTCTCCAACAACTCTGGCCCTACCCGCAAATGTTACATATCCCCTGGTCTGTCTCACATTGCTACTCCCTTGTTCCCTTTCCTCTTTTGTAGCCAATGTTTTGAATTGGGGTTCTGGTTTTCTGTTACTAAATCTTAATTTTTAGACCATTATGGTATGCGATATGGTTTTCAAATAACTATGGCTTCTATGTATGTCGTTAGTGGTTCAGTCGATTTTTAAGTGTCGATGGAATAACATCAGTTGGGAGAAGTTAGTTTCTTAAATGAAGATGGTACGTGGCTCTCAGCTGAAGATATCCTGGGTACCAAACAAACTCTTCATATTGAGATACTGAGATTTTAACTGATCCCAAGTCATTTGAGTGTCCATGTGTGTTTGTGTGCTCTGTGAGTGAAAGAGACGGAAGTTGGGGATGTTGATTGCAAGAAGATATGATGGGATATTTGATGGAGATTATACTTGTACGCTAAGATTTTAGATTCTAATTTTGTTAGTCAGTAGTTATTACTATGTTGCTATTATCAAGAAAGCGAGTCCTTGGTTTTAAGTAAGTCGAGGCTCGAAGAGAAAAGCCGTAAAATTTTTGGGCAATGTGATTTGAGAAGATGGGGATATGCACTTTAAGCTGTCAGTCAATAAGAAATTGTATGTATGACAAGTTTTTTCATCTTTATAATAATTACTTTAGAAGACATACCTAACATAATTCTTTATTAGCTGACATTGCATGAAATTAATCTCGTGTGATTTTATGCTGTATGGGTATTAGAGTAGCTAGTTTTTAGCAAACAACTTCATCATCTCACTGTTGTTCTAATGCATTATGCTACACATGACACAACTATGCTTCCTCGTCATTATTCAAATTTTGGGCTATGTTAAGCAAGACTGTACATAACCATCCGAATCTGTGGGCTTTCTTTGTGTGTGCTTAGGCCTTGTGATATGTTGTTTTGTTGGGTCTATCGGTTTGATACCAATGGCGGACAGGGACTGTGGGTGGGAAATGCTTGGAAGGTAGTTTGGTTATTTTTCATTTAGATAAACTGCTATAATTTTTTTGTCCAGTGCATTGGTTATTTGGCAACGCAGAGTTAGCTGTGGTGGACTTGGAAATCTACATAAAAGATATGTTAGCTAAAGTACCGTTTATATCTATGCAATACTCACGTTTCTGCGTCAGAGTATGCAAAAACTTTTAAAAAACGACACACTAGTTAGTAATCACTACAGGTAATCATTATACATTTCCCACCTAATTATTATGGGGTACCTAAGTCCCGTATTGAGTAGTATGGAATACTTGGTGGAGTACTTAAATGTTTTAGTTCTCTCCCTTTGATAATTAGTTTTTAGGAAGGTTCCTCAAATACATGAGTATTTATCAATTAGTATTAGAGTTGGTTCTTGGTGTCTTAAAAAGGTCTACCCTGGAGGGATTAACCAAAAATGTTGAGGGAAGTATCTTAAAGTGAATTTTTTGAGACTTTGGTATTTTAAGGTGTCTAACTCTAACATCAAGTAGCATGGAATGCTCAGTAGAATCCTTGACTTGATTGACTGGGTTGAGATGTTTGGTGGAGTACTTAATTGATTGGGTTTTCCCGCTTGACAACTAGCTTTTTCTTGGAGGGTTCTCCAAGTTCTTGACTACTTATCAATTTCATATTCCAACAAGCAATATTCTGCATTAGTAATAGTTTCCACATCTCCAAAAGGATTGCTTTAGAGTAAACATATAAGGAAAAGATGCTTGTATTCATGATAAATAACTTCGTTTTTTAAGTCATTTAACCATGGTGATGTGGAACATTGTATATTTTAGACATTCGTCACTTTAAAATGATATGGGAACTCTCTCTATCATTTGGGTTTAAATTTTAATCACTAGCAGTAGCTCTTTTGAAATAGAAACAATTGGCTACTTGGAGTTTTGTCAAGCCTTGAAAAAAGGTCAACTTACACAATTAGTTACCTTTAAAAGTTACAAAATTCTCATGTTGTATTGTGATCATATCAGTATACAAAACCTCTTTTAATATGGGCTTATATGACCAAAAAACACAGCTCATAATTATGATAAAGATCCTGTAGCAACAAATGGATTTTGGTTACCAAAGTTTTATCCTGTAAGATTGATGTTTGTTTCCTAATTTTGGTACAATGAGGGCTAAATTCTGATAATGGTATCCGTTTTTGTACGCTTACACTCTTCACTTCTGTTTCCCGACAAGAACTAGGACTAAATTTGCATTGCCACCTTGAAATGGCAACTGTGGAGATTAAAATTACATTTACCTGTACCAACTTCAAGATTGTATATTGAAATGCTAATATTGTATGTGCTTGTAATGTTCAGTTCATGAAAGGGTTCTTAGGACAAGTGACGACTTTGTCTGGCCTGTTGATACTGCATTCCTTGGTCGCTTTGTTATTGATATTGAATTTCTTGACCTGAAGACCAGCCCTGGGAATGTGAGTACCTAATTGTTACAATCATTACCATATTTATATGATATTTTTATGCAAATAGTTAATTTTATAGTGTATCCCTAAATCTAATGGTCTTTGTTTTTTCCTCTAAATATCCATCTGCTTATAAAATATTGCTATATACTTGCTAAGCACTAACAATCACTTGTTCTTTATCTGGTCAACTGCTTTGTCTGGAGGGACCCTTTGAACTTGTTTTCGATTATTGCTTTTCTAACCTTTGATCAGTTATTTTGAAAAACAGGGTGGAGTAGCCAGATCTGTATGGCCATCTGATGGAAAACTGCAAACTGTTGCAGCTCAAAGCACTCTTCGATGCCTGTCTCGAATGCTTGATGAGGCTATACATGCTGACCTCACAATTGTCACTGCAGATGGTACTCTGAAGGCTCACAAGGCAGTTTTATCTGCAAGTTCTACTGTGTTCCATGGCTTGTATCTTCACAGTGGTGATGAAGAAGATATGTCTACGATCCACATGGAAGATATGTGTCAAGAATCCTGCAAGTCTCTCCTATGTTACCTGTACGGTACTATACAACAAGAAGATTTCTGGAACCACAGGCTTCCATTGCTTGGTGCAGCCAATAAATATGAGATTGGTGATCTCAAAGATGCCTGTGAGGAAAGCCTACTTGAAGATCTTAACTCGGGAAATGTTTTGGAGAGGCTAAATGATGCTTGGCTGTACCAGCTACACAACTTAAAGAAAGGATGCTTCTCATTCTTATTTGATTTTGGTAAGATATATGATGTTAGAGATGAAATAAATAACTTTTTCCGACATGCTGACAGGGAGCTAATGCAGGAGATGTTTCAAGAAGTGCTTACAATTTTGAAATAGGTTGCCATGAAACTCTTATATCCTTGTATCTTGCAAATGATGGATCCTTTTGAATAATCATGTTTATACTTTAAACTTGTGTTGTACTATTTTATAATATGATGTACATAATACCAATCTGCCCTCTTCAACAACCTAGTGGTTAAATGTCAAATCTGGGAGTACATTATTCTGCATATCAATGACTTTGATTGGTTTTTTCTATTTCTGCATTGTTCACAAATCAAATCCTTTCTTGGACCCATTGTCACTTGTTAAGCGGAAAGAGGACCCAACTATGGCTCCAAGGACGGAACTAACTCTCAAGCTAGTCTGATCAGATTGCGGTCGAAGAAAAGGGGAATACATGTTAGATGCTGGTAATATCATGGAACATAGTTAGAAAGATTAACAGACATATGATTTGTAAGGAAGAGAGACCAAAAAAATCAGAACGTTTATTTACATTCCCTTCTGGCTTAGTTGCTTCTTTTATTTACATTTGCTTTTATATTTCCCAATTTTTGGTCATCACTGTTATTGGAGGACAAGCTGATATTCAGAGAATTACCAACCAATTGCTGGGGAAGTCTGAATATGAAAGCCCTCCAATGATTAACATTGAAGGGAGGAGAGTTTTGTTTATCCTTCATTTATTGTTCAGGCATTCGCGGTTCTATTTAATGTGTTTATGACTAAAAGATAAAATCACGGGACTACCACAACACACTATATGACAAACCTTCTCCTTTAAAAGAATCTTTGTCCTCAAAACTCTAACTGAGTAAATTAGGATACTTCTACCTCAAATCATTTGTAGAATCCTGTGTATGAACATCCTTCCATTCTATAAGAACTTCAGTAGTAGCTCATTTTTAATCACTTTGCTTTACGAAATGGCTAAAGTAACACATTTAGCAACTGAAATTTCATATGCACGTAAATTCCTGGCCACAAAGGAAGCTTTAATGGGTAAGCCTCAAAGACTACATTATGAAAACTCTTATAAAGTCATACAGTTTTAGGAGAAAACTTGCATTTAGACATTAAATTCTATGAATCATATATAGTGTTCTTTGATCTCTTAGTTGTCAGTTCTGATAACGGTTATAGAATATGATCTGATATCCTAGGAAGATTTCATATTCATATTTCTGCAGCATATTTCATCTTATTTGTTTTGTTACTGCAATGAGAAAAAAGTATGATCTGTATATGTGATCTGATACATATATGGTCTAATAGTCTTAATTAATAAATAACAATTTGCTTTGTTCTTATAGCAATGCATTGTTTACTTTATTTCAAAATCTTATTGGAATCCTCTTATATATATAAAAAAAAAAAATCTTTCCTAGAGATAGCCAAAATGGCCAGCAAAGGAAAATTCTTCATCACTGTCATTGGAAATTATTAGTACAGATCAGAAAGTGGTGAAAATGAGATGAAAATGTATTGAAAAATTATGGTTAAAAGGTTGAAAAATATTATGTCTTTTAAAAAATATTAAAAAAAAATTATCCTTATAAAATAGCTAAAAAGAAGTTGTCCTTTGAGAAAAATTCAAAACGCAGTTAAACCCAATTCATCTATTGATTTGTGGTACATGTCCGGATGCTCATGGTGAAGGTATTGTCTTGATATCCTGAACCTCTTGTATTGATAGACTAAGCACTCCCAGAATATAAAATGAAATTTTTTAAGCAATATATGAATATAATCCCTCCATCATTAGCATTTACCCATCCATTAAAATAAGCATCTAACATCATTCATCTTTTCTCAATCCTTGCTCAGGTCCCTTCTTTGAATCTTATATTTTATAATCTCTACATATCAAACAAAAAATGTGAGTACTGCTTGTGCTCTAACAAACAAACGACTGGTACAAAGATACTTACTATGACTCATTCAAATTAAAATAAAATAAAATTATACGATTAAAATCTTATACGTTTTTTTTTTAATCCTCACCTATTCGAGTAGGATTAACAGAAGATATCAAAAGAGTTCTAATTTTTTTCATCAGCTCTTGATAGTGGGTTATACTTACATTGAATTACTTTACCTAGTACTAATTAATATTAAGTTGACACTTATCACTCTTCTTATCATAACTTATGAACCTAGTCTTCCTATGAGGGTGTCCGGAGAGTCAATGTCGCATCACACAATTTCTGATCATAAACCAAACCCATAAAAAGAATTCAAACGATTAAGTCAATTCAATTAATTTTCATCAAACCACTTTGCGTTAAAATCCCGCTACTACGATTGTTAATTTATTATATCCAGTGCACAATTCATTTTCCTCGTGCATAAAATAATGCATCAAACTTTCGGAGTTATCACAAGGCATTGGCAAAGCACAAGAAGGATGGGAAGGTGACTAAGGAGAAGATGCAGCAGAAGTGGAAGGTTGCTCTCTGTGAAGCAGCCAATTTATCAGGCTTTCATTCAAATGCATACAGGTGCATGTGGGGTCTATTATTCACTGCTTCTGCCTTTATTTTTTCAAAGACTAAGCCATTACTTGAATCTCAAAGATATCAACGATGTTATTAGGCGTTCATTAATTAGTCCAATATGTGAATTAGACAGTTTCTAAGTTACTATATGTTATTTTCTTCTTTTCTTTAACTTTTGTATAGGACTGAATCTGACTTGATTGAAGATATTATCAAAGTTGTTTTGCAAAAACTCAATCATAACACAAGTATCCAAATGACTTTAGAGGACCTTTCATATCTGATGAAAACTATATAAACATTGAATCTTTACTCAAAATTGATTCAGAGAAATTTCGACTCATTGGAATTTGGGGTATGGGAGGTATAGGTAAAACAACTCTTGCTGCGGCTATTTTTCATAGGATTACATGACCTAAACTATGTATGGAACAAACTTCTTTCAAAGTTACCGAGGGAGGATGTTAGGAAATTAAATGTATATGTAAGAAGGAAGAAAACAGAAAGTTATTTGGTTGGTTAGGTGGTTAGGCGGTTATAGTCTTCCTAACAGGAAGACTATATATATATAGGTGGGTTTTTGTTGTTGGGGGATATGTTTTTGTATATCAAGAGTATAGACAGGATTGTTAGTGTTCTGTGAGGAGGGGAACATCACTCCTTGATAGTGTTCTTGTTGTATGACTATTGAGAAACGAATAAAAGAAGAGTATACAGTTTTGTGAGGGTGTTTTTTGTGAGTGAAAACGTTTTTGAACAGGTTTCTTCTATCAAGAAACCTAACAATTGGTCTGACCTGCTAGATCCGAAAAAGGAGAAATCAAGGAAGGAAAAATTGTTGTCTTGAAAAAATGGGCCAGCGAACATGGGAAGATCATCTCGGAAATGCAAGGTAATTTTCAAGAAATCAAAGACTTGTTGAAACACTTCAAGGAAAAAGAAAGAAGCTCAGAGAAAGGTAAGAATTCTATAAACGAGAGAAAAAGAGGAGAAAGGACGGTGATTAGTGAGAAATCTGATTCGGATGGTGGGGAAGAAGAGGTGCAGCGTCACTGGATGAAAAGGGTGGAGTTGCCAACTTTTGAAGGAAGTGATCCAATGTGATGGATTGCAAGGACAGAGAAATCTTTTGAAATCTAAAGCATTTCTTCAAGGGAGAAAATTCGTCTGGCATTCATTAGCATGGAGGGCAGTGTCAACCATTGATTTAGATTCTGGAAAAAGAAGGCGAAGCATTAAATAGGAGGTTTGGAGGGAAGGAAAGAAATACTGTCTTTGAAAAATTGGCGGCAATAAGGCAAAATGGTGGAGTGGAAGAATATATTCAGGATTTTGAGATTTTGGTTTCACAAATTCCAAACTTATTCGAAGAATAGCTATTGGGATATTTTTTTGCTGGATTGCAAAGTGGAATTAGGAGTCAGATCCAACCACATGATCCTAAGGATTTGATGAAGGCTATGGAGATAGCAAGTGATGTAGAAGGCTCATTCAAAGAAACCAGACCAGGAGGAGGATGTGCATACCGAAATAATAATTCTAATTTTCGGTATCAAGGAGGAATGAGGACAGTATCAAGAACGGAAACATTCAAGGGAGCTGGAAGTTCACAAAGTGCATCCAACAACATCAGTACTGCCCGGAAAGAAAAGGGAGAAATATTTTTTGGGTCAAGTGTAGAGAAAACTCAATGGAAGGAACTAGGAGCAGAGGGGTGTGAATTCTGCCTTATCCAGAATACATCAGGAGAAGGGAAGAAGGAAGATGTTTCCACTATGAGGAGCTTATAATCCAGGACATCGGTGTCCGGATAAGAGTTTAAGGGTGGTAATTCTTGCAGAAGATGCGGAAGAAGGAGATAATGTGGAGGAAGTAAAGGAAGAGGAATTGGAGAACATGGAGCACAAAAGGATGGAGTTGTCTTTATTTTCAGTAGGGGGGCTGATCCAAACTAATGCAATGAAATTACAAGGATGGGTTAATGGGAGGAGAGTGCTGATCTTGATAGACAGTGGAGCCAGCCATAATTTTATCTCCTCAAAATTAGTGGCTGAATTGGGGTTACGAGTGGAAAACACATCACCTTATTTTGTCAAATTAGGAGATGGTCATAAAAACAAATCAGTGAATGTTGCAAGGATATAGAAGTGCAGTTGGAAGATCACACGGTAAAAGATACATTTTTCTTGTTTGAACTGGGTGGAGTAGATCTGATTTTGGGAGGAACCTGGTTAGCATCATTGGGGGAGGTTAAAGTTAATTGGAGGACATTAACTATGTCTTTTAATGTAGCAAGGCAGCAAGTGCAGATCAAAGGGGATCCAACTCTCACAAAAAGGGTTGTAACACCTCAAGCTCTGTTGAAAGAAACAGAGATTGAAGCTGTGACTTTGGTATGGGAGTTAGGGGTGACTGCAGTGGAGAAAGATATGGTGTTGGGGAAGAAATTGTCACCCAGACAGCAAGATGAGATAGAAGGGGTCTTGCAGAAGTATAAGGGGATTTTCCAGGAAATTCTGGAACTGCCACCAAGGAGAGAGATAAATCATAAAATACCCATCAGAGCTGGTGAAAATCCAGTCAATGAGAGAACTTACAGATATTCACACTTGCTGAAATCAGAAATAGAAAACAAGTGTCTGAAATGCTCAAAACGGGAATAATCAATAGCAACAACCCATGTTCAAGCCCAGTTATCCTAGTAAAAAAAAAGGATGAGAGTTGGAGGTTTTGCATTGATTACTAGGCCCTAAATAGGGCTACAATCCCTGATAAATTTCCTATACCTGTTATTGAGGAGTTGTTGGATGAATTACATGGAGCCAAATTTTTTTCAAAGATTGATCTCAAAGTTGGGTATCATCAAATAAGAATGGATGAGGAAGATATCCAAAAAATAGCCTCCCGCACTCACCATGGGCATTATGAGTTCTTGGTTATGCCCTTTGGGCTAACCAATGCCCCAACCTCTTTCCAATGTGCTATGAACACTATCCTATGCAAGTTTTGAGGAAATGTGTTTTGGTGTTCTTTGTCGATATAGCAAATCGTGGGAGGATCATATATATCACTTAAAGCAAGTGCTGGAAACATTGCAGAAGCAGAAATTTTTTGCAAATAAGAAAAAATGTGAATTTGGGAAACAAGAAGTGAGGTATTTGGGCCATGTGATCTCACATAAGGGAGTGGAGATGGATCCTCAGAAGCTGGAAAATATTCACCAGTGGCCAACACCTAAAACCATCAAGGATTTAAAAGGTTTTCTGGGCCTTAGAGGGTATTACAAATGTTTTATAGTAGACTATGGGAAGATAGCTAAACCTCTCACAAATCTGCTGAAGAAGGGAAGTTTTGAATGGAATAAGGAGAGAACCGAGGCACTGAAAAACCTAAAAAACGTAGTCTGTGATGAAGTTACCTGATTTCAACCAGCCTTTTTCTATTGAGTGTGATGCGTCAGGAAGTGGGATAGGAGCAGTTTTGTCCCAAAACAAGAGGCCCATATCATTTTTTAGCAAGGCTTTGTCTGATACCTCACTTACCAAGTCAATTTATAAGAAGGATCTTATGGCATTGGTGTTGGTTATTCAACACTGGAGACCATATTTGTTGGGACAAAGATTCATAGTGTATACTGATCAGAAAAGCCTAAGATACCTCTTAGAGCAGCGGATAACGACTCAAAAACAGCAAAATTGGTTGGCCAAACTGTTGGGGTATGAGTTTGATATTATATATAAGACAGAGGCATCCAACAAGGTGGTTGATGCCTTGTCTCGGAGGTTCAAAGATGTGATTGAGGAGGAAAAAGAATTACAGATCTTGTCCAAACCATTTTGGCAAGATTTTCAATCAATAACAGAGGATGTAAAGGATGACGCTGTTTTGCAAAAGATTATAGAGGATTTAACAAACAATTTTGGATTGCATGGCCATTACACTTTGGAGCATGGACGCCTACATCACAAAGGCAGGTTGGTGATATCAACTACATCTCCCTGGATCCCATAGCTTTTAGCAGAATATCACATTACTCCCACAGGTGGTCATTCAAGGGGTTTTCTGACGTATAGGAGGGTTGGCCAATCTCTCTATTGGATTAGAATGAAGAAGATGGTAACAGAGTTTGTGGCGTGTTTGATTTGCCAACAACATAAGTATTTGGCTTCCTCACCACATGGGTTGTTACAACCTTTGCCCATACCTAATGTAGTTTGGGAAGATGTAAGTCTGGATTTCATAGTCAGTCTTCCTAAATCAAATGGTTATGGTGCCATCCTAGTGGTGGTAGATAGGTTGAGTAAATGTGGGCACTTTATACCAATTAAACACTCTTATTCAGCTAGGAGTATAGCTGAAATTTTTGTCAAAGAAATGGTAAAGTTACATGGGATTCCCGCGTCAGTAGTTAGTGAGGGATCCCACTTTTCTAAGTCTCTTCTGGTAGGAACTGTTTTGGCTGAAAGGGACAACGTTTAACATGAGCACAGCTTACCATCCGACGTCATATGGTCAAACCGAAGTTTTAAATAGAACGTTGGAGACATAGTTAAGGTGTTTTAGCTCTGAACAGCCCAAGACGTGGTCCTTGTTTATTCCCTGGGCAGAATACTGGTATAACACCAGTTTTCAAGGAGCAGCCAAGAGAACTCCTTTTGAAGTGGTGTATGGCAGGTCTCCACCTTCACTCAGTAGATTTGTACCAGGGGAGACTGCCATTGAAGCGATGGCACAGGATTAGATGACAAGAGATGAAGCTCTTAATCAGCTCAAATTTCACTTAACTAGAACACATGACTAAATTTGCGAATAGACATTGTAAACCATCATCAATCAAAGTGGGGGACTTGGTGTTTTTGAAGATTCACCCTCATCGGCAAGTTTCAATGCCAACTAAGTTGCATCCTAAGCTATTAGCGAAATACTATGGGCCTTTTCTGGTGTTGAGACAAGTTGAACCAGTAGCTTTTGGTTTGCAACTTCCTGCGACAGCTAGGATCCATCCCATTTTCCATGTTTCCCAATTGAAGCAGGTTGTAGGAACGCATCAAGTGGAAAGAGAGCTGCCAGAGGAGCTACAAGGAAGAACCTCCACTTGTCTTCCCAATAAAGTGCTTGAGAGAAGGACAGTACAACAGCCAGGGCAAGAAAACCCAATTCCTCAGGTTCTGATTCAGTGGCAAGATGGAGGAGCTGATACAGCTACCTGGGAGGATGTAACTACTATCAAACACCATTTTCCGGACTTCAACCTTGAGGACAAGGTTGTTTGTACAGGGGAGGGTAATGTTAGGGAATTAAATGTATATGTATGAAGGAAGAAAACAGAAAGTTAGTTGGTTAGTTAGGTGGTTATATTCTTTCTAATAAGAAGACTATATATATAGGGGGGGTTTTGTTGTTGGGGGATATGTTTTTGTATGTTCAGAGTATCGACAGGATTGTTAGTGTCCTATGAGAATGGGAACATCACCCCTTGATAGTGTTCTTGTTGTATGACTATTGAGAAACGAATAAAAGAAGGGTATAGGGGTGTTTTCTGTGAGTGAAAATGTTTTTGAACCAGTTTCTTCTATTAAGAAACCTAATAGAGGATCTTCATATTGACACTCTTAAAGTGATACCTTCTATTATTTCAAGAAGACTCAAGCGTAAGAAAGTTCTTATTGTACTAGATAATGTGAATGGTTCAGAACTTCTTGAAAAATTGGTTGGAGTGGGTCGTGAATGGCTGGGAGCAGGTAGCAGAGTCATTGTGACAACAAGAGATAAGCACGTACTTATGCCTGGACTGGTTGATAAAATTCATGAAGTCAAGAAAATGAACTTCGAAAACTCCCTTGAACTTTTCAGCTTAAATGCCTTTGGCAAATCATATCCTGAAAAGGGATATGAGGAGTTATCAAAAAGAGCACTGAATTATGCCAAAGGAATCCCTTTCTTTGAAGGTTTTGGGATCATTTCTTCGTTATCGAAGTGAAAATGAATGGGATAGTGCACTAAATAAATTAAAGAAAAATACAAAAGCATAAATTCAGGCGGTCTTGAGATTGATTGAGTTATGAGGGACTAGATGATGAGGAGAAGAACATTTTTCAAGACATAGCTTGTTTTTTTAAGCGACAAAGAAGAGAACGTGTAACAAAAATATTACATGATTGCGACTTTTTTGCAGATATAGGAATAAGAAGTCTTTTAGACAAAGCCATTATCACTATTAATTCAAGCAGTAATTGCATAGATATGCACGATCATACAAGAAATGGGTAGAGAAGTTGTTCGTGAAGAATCTATTAAAAACCCTGGACAACGAAGTAGACTGTGGGATCCTGAGGAAGTCTATGATGTATTGACAAATAATAGAGTAAGTGAAAGATACCTTAACTTGCACTCCTAAACACTTGTTTTTTGTATAAAACAACAAATTGTTACATAAGTAGTAACATCAATTATATTTTTTTGCAGGGAACTGGTGCAGTTGAAGGAATATGGTTAGATATAACACAAAATACAAATATAAATTTAAGCTCTAAAGCATTCAGAAAGATGCCAAACTTGAGATTACTTGCTTTCCAATCCTCCAATGAAGCCTTTGAGATAATTAACACGCTGTACCTCCCAAAGGGTCTTCTTCAATTCTTACCTAAAAACTTAAGATATTTGGGGTGGAATGGATATCCACCAAAATCTCTACCATAAAGTTTTTGCCCTGAGAAGCTTGTTGAGATTTCCATGTCATTCAACAATGTGGAAAAACTTTGGCAAGGAGTACAAGTATGTATGTTTCACATGTTAATCATGTATTCATCTTTTACTTTTACTTTTGATAGAAATTTCCTGGAAAATGTCCATACTTGTTCGGTCCATTATATGTATTTGCAGAATTTTCGGAGTTTAGAGAAAATTGAACTTCGTGGCTCCAAGAACCTTCTGGAGTGTCCAAAGTTGTCTCATGCACCAAAACTCAAGTATGTAAGTATGCGAGATTGTGAAAGCTTGCCTTATGTTGACCCATCAATCTTCTCCCTCCCCAAGCTTGAAATTTTAAATGTGAGCGGATGCAAATGGCTCAAGAGTCTTTGCAGCAACATTTGGCCACAATATCTCCGAGTATTGTTTTTAGCACATTCTGGTTTGAATGAACTGCCTCCATCAATTTTACATATCAGGAACCTCCATATGTTTTCTTTTCTGATTAATGATGGTCTTGTTGATCTTCCTGAAAACTTTACGGATCAACTTTCGCTTTCTGACTCAAGGGAAGATGAATGTGACACTTTCTTGACCTTGCGTCATTTAATGTCTAGCTCTGGCTTCCAGTCAGGTACACGTCTTGCATTTCACAATTGTCAAAGTTTGTGTGAAATCCCAGATAACAAACATCTCCTTGTTATCATCATTGAAATGCTTTAGCTTACGTTATAGCACCATCGTTAGCTTACCCGAAAGCTTTAAGTATCTTCCAAGACTCAAACTTCTTGAAGTTGGTAATTGTAAAATGCTTCAGCGTATACCTGCAGTCCCAAAATCCATTCAGTTATTTTATGTCTGGAACTGTGAATTTCTTCAAACAGTGTTAAGTTCAACGGTTGAATCATCCAAAATACCCAAATGTAGTTATCTGCTCCCTAATTGTTTAAAATTGAATGAACAATCATATGATGCAATTTTGAAAGATGCCATTGGTAGGATTGAACTTGGATCTAAACATTTGTCAGCAGTAGAATTACAAAATGAAGAAGATGCATCCTCCGATATCGAGACTGGTGATTTTTACTTTTTTCATTTAGTAAGAAATGGTAAGATTTGCTACTGTATACCAGCTAAAAGTGGCAAAGTTCAAGATTGACTTCATCGCCACTTTACACAAGCTTTAGTCACCATTGAACTTCCTCCTAATTTGTTGGGTTTCGTTTTCTACTTGGTTGTCTCTAAAGTCCAATCATGCAACATTGGACGCTATGGAAGTATTGGATGTGAATGCTACTTGGAAACTAGCAGGGACGAAAGAATGAATATACGAAGTTTTTTTGTAGAAGAAAATATCTTGTCTAATCATGATCCTCCATTTGGATTTATGGAAGATCACATATTTTTATGGTATGATGCTGAATGTTGCAAGAAGATAATGGAAGTAATTAAAGAAGAGAAAACCATTAATGACAAGAGCAACATTCATCATCCAAAGGCAACAACAAAAATTTAAACTTCTCCTTAAACTTCAAACATTGAAGCACAAGATGGAACATAAGACTTGAGGTAATCTTCCTAAATATCATTATCCTCGTAGGTACTATTGCAAATTAGATTTGGTAGAGACTTGGTGTAGCAGAAACTGTGGTGCCGCTCTGTTGCAATATAAAGATGTGCAGTCAATAGGATGCCTGTGGTAGTATGATCATTTTTTGGCTTAATTATTGAAGAGTAAACTTTCTTTTTAAAGCATCACATAAGCCTTTCATCATGCATGATCTAAGGCAAAACTCTTTATTTTTATGATGTTATTTTATAGTTTTAACTATCTGAACATTTTGTTGGATAGCCAGACTCCATGTTAAATTTGAAAATAATAAAGTTGAGTACTTTATTAACGAGGAAGAAAACAAATCTATGTTAAGTATTTGGATCTAATATATAAACACCAACTTAATGTTTTCTCTCGAAAAATTCTAACAGTTGTATGAATTTAAGTTTTGAAGTTTACTTCTAAGTATTTAGTGTTTTGATTTTGACATTGTTCACGCACACTATTCACTACTGTTTACCAACATACAATATTGGTACAAGTTTCTCCTAAGAACTAAGCACATCGTGTATTCTTGATCTGATCAATTGCATTATCCTCTATTACTATATTCTTTCTTCTTATATTTTTATTACATAAACAAATTATGAGGAACAAAGTTACAATATATATCTTTGTTCTAAATCCCTTAAAATAACATTAAATATGTTCGTTTATCTTGAATAACCGTATCAATATTTTAAATCTCATTTTATTTTAAAATTGACTTTACTAGTTATATTTTTTTAATTTTAATATTCTTATTTTTTTATATAAAATTTCTTTATAATTAAATAATTATATTTTTTATCTTTTAAAATCAATACAATTCTTAGTTTTAAAAAATAATTATTGTAAATTTGAATAGAAAAGAAAAAAAAGTTAAAAAAGATAACATAGATCTTATATTGTAGTTACAATTATTTTTTAATAATGGAAGATGAGATTAAATAACCATGATCAAATAGATTGAGAATAAGATTTGGTTATATTTTAAAAGAAATAAAACTAATAAGACAAAGTTTGATGTTATTATTTTAAATATATTTATTTTAGAGGATTGTTGATTGGAACTTATATTATATACTTAAAGATGAATATTTTTAAAGGATTAATAGATAAACCTTCTATTATTTTGTCTTAATTCAATAAAAATTAATATAATGAATATTTTACAATAAATTATCTATGTAATATTTATTAATATTTTAAAAAATGATAAATTTAAAAAATAAATAACTTATAGACGTAATAATCAAGGTTTGGATATAATTATTACAAGTATTCCACGTTCATATATACGTGGAGATAAAAAATGTATCACGTGTTTTTTATAGATAAAAATAATATAATTTAGAAAATATGATATAAAAAATATAATAAAAATAAATTAAAAATAAAATGATATTATATATTACTAAAATCAATGTATGAATTAGAAATAATATGATATTAGAAAGGTGGGATAACTACAATGATGGTTTTCCTTCTTCTTCTTCTTTTTTTTCTTGGTTCATGTCATCTTTTTTATTGGGGTTTGAGTTTTCTTGGTCTTCCCCCATTTTTGTTTTTTCTTCTTTAAAAAAATATCCATAAATTATAATAAATTAATTTTAATGTTATTTTCTTATGTGTTAATCCACCCTTATATGCTAATTTTATGTTTTTTTTTTCTTATGATGAATTAAGCGTTATAATGTCTTTATAATTTTTTTTAAACTCATAAGTTATAATGTGAACTTTTTTTGTTAAGTATTTAACTTAGTTTAATTCAATAAATTTTAAAGTAAACCTTAAGGTATTAGATTATGGATGATACTTCTTTATATGTTTTCAATTTTTTAATTCTTACTCAATGTGAGACTTAATTCACTTGGATTACCCGATAAAAAACTATTATGACCCACTACCAATCAATCTTTGACTCTGATATCATGTTGAGTATTTCAAGAAGAATTTATTAGGGAGAACAACACCAATGATACATAAGTTCATATAAGGATGAACATCACTCTCAACCCAAAACTTACTGAGTTGTGAGTCATTCTTCCTTATTTGTTATTCAATTTTCTTATTCTTACATAATTGTGAGACTTAAAATCAGTATTGGTTCCCAACAATTTATTATTATAATTTATTGGTAAAAACATTAACAAATATCATTGACAATATTTATTAAGGGCACAAATATTATGATTCATCAATCTTTGTCTTCAACAAAAATATCTTGAATTAAAAAAAATTAATATTGAGCAATTTAAAAAATAATAAGAGGTAATCAGGACTTGAAAAATAGAAAAAATTGAGTACTCTAAACTAAGAAAAATATAGTATTCTAGATTAGGAAAAATAAATTAAGATGATATTCTGAACTAGGAAAAGAAAATAAAATACTGAGATTATAACTTAGATTGATACCATATTAAACTATGAAAAAAGAGGATGGATATCATTTTGAAATTAAATTGAATTGACTTACAATATCAATTTTTTTATATAAATATTATTTAATTACAAAAACATTATTAATTACAAATTATTATTCTAATTTTTTAAGTGAAAATAGTTTATATATATTAGATTTTTAAATTAAGTTAGCTATAAAAATATATAACCAAAAATAATTTATTGATATGATGAGTGTTGTTCACACAGGGAGAGGTGTGCGAAAACCAGAAGGAAGTAGTGGGTGGGGTTAGGGGAGGAAACCGGCCCCAATGGCATGCGTAGTCAACATTGCGGATAGACTAATCAGTATCCAAATAGAAAATGAGATTTGTTAAAGTATAAAAACAAAGATATGAATGTAATCCCTCCATTATTGGCGCTTATTTTATATAATCTTTATATATAAAACGAGAAGTGTGATTACTGTTTCGCTTAAACAAAGAAACCACTTGTAAAAAGGATATTATGATTCATTAATACCATGAATTTTCATATGAGCAATGATGATTAAAGGATAACCCTTTATTCTTTTCATATAGAGTGAGAATCAAACACAATTTCTTATCATAAACCATGACCAGAGAAAGAACTAAGTCAATTTAATGAATCTCCGCTACTACTATTGTTAATTTCTTACACCCAATGCCCTATTCCTCTTTGTCGCCATAAAATAATGCAGGCTTTATTAGAATTATGGTTGTTTTTTTTTTAATTCCAAAACAACCCGAAGTGCGAGTCCTACACATTTCGTACGTGTGGTTCGTGTGGTTATATTTCTATCAAGTGATAGATTTCAACTAATTCCCTAATATTTAATCATACAAAAGAAGGACATGAATTCATGAAAGCAAATCCATGGCTTCTTCTAATGTGAGTTGTGCTTCTTTCTCTTCCTCTCAGTTTGTTCCCAAAAGGCATGATGTTTTCATCAGCTTTAGAGGAGAGGACACTCGTAGTGACTTCACTAGCCACCTTCATGCTGCTCTCTGCAGAAACAGCGACATGGATACGTACATCGACTACAGGATTCAGAAAGGAGATGAGGTATGGGCAGAACTGGTGAAAGCCATCAAAGACTCCACTCTCTTTTTGGTTATCTTCTCAGAGAACTATGCCTCCTCCACTTGGTGCTTGAATGAACTTGTTGAACTAATGGAATGCAACAAACAAGAAGATGTAGATGTCATTCCTGTGTTCTACAAAATAGACCCATCTCAGGTACGCACACAGAGTGGGAGTTATCAGAAGGCATTGGCAAAGCACAAGAAGGATGGGAAGGTGACTAAGGAGAGGATGCAGCAGTGGAAGGGTGCTCTCTGTGAAGCAGCCAATTTATCTGGCTTTCATTCAAACACATACAGGTGCATGTGGTGTCTATTATTTCACTGCTTCTGCCTTTGTTTTTTGAAAGACTAAACCATTACTTAAATCTCAAAGCTATCAATGATGTTTTGAGGCGTTCATTCCATTAGTTCATTGTGTGAATTAGATAGTTTCAAAATTACAATATGTTATTTTCTTCTTTTGTTTAACTTCTGTATAGGACTGAATCTAACTTGATTGAAGACATTATCAAAGTTGTTTTGCAAAAACTAAATCACAAATACGCAAATGACTTCAGAGGACCTTTCATATCTGATGAAAACTATACAAACATTGAATCTTTACTCAAATATGATTCGGAGGAAGTTCGAATCATTGGAATTTGGGGTATGGGAGGTATAGGTAAAACAACCCTTGCTGCGGCTATTTTTCATAAGGTTTCTCCTCAATACGAAGGCGCTTGCTTCTTTGAAAATGTGGCAGAGGAATCAAAAAGACATGACCTAAACTATGTATGCAACAAACTGCTTTCAAAGTTACTGAGGGAGGATCTTCATATTGACACTCTTAAAGTGATACCTTCTATTATTACAAGAAGACTCAAGCGTAAAAAAGTTTTGATTGTACTAGACAATGTGAATGGTTCAGAACTTCTTGAAAAATTGGTTGGAGTGGGTCGTGAATGGCTGGGAGCGGGTAGCAGAGTCATTGTGACAACAAGAGATAGACATGTACTTATGCCTAAAATGGTTGATAAAATTCATGAAGTCAAGAAAATGAACTTTGAAAGCTCCCTTGAACTTTTCAGCTTAAATGCCTTTGGCAAATCATATCCTGAAAAGGGATATGAGGAGTTATCAAAAAGAGCACTGAATTATGCCAAAGGAATCCCTTTAGCTTTGAAGGTTTTGGGATCATTTCTTCGTTATCGAAGTGAAAATGAATGGGATAGTGCACTGAGTAAATTAAAGAAAATTCCCAAAGTAGAAATTCAGGGAGTCTTGAGATTGAGTTATGAGGAATTAGATGATGAGGAAAAGAACATTTTTCTAGACATAGCTTGTTTTTTTAAGGGACAAAGAAGTGATCGTGTGACAAAAATATTAAATGATTGCGACTTTTCTGCTGATATAGGGATAAGAAGTCTTTTAGACAAAGCTCTTATCACTATTAATTCAAGCAGTAATTGCATAGATATGCACGATCTCATACAAGAAATGGGTAGAGAAGTTGTTCGTGAAGAATCTATTAAAAACCCTGGACAACGAAGTAGACTGTGGGATCCTGAGGAAGTCTATGATGTATTGACAAATAATAGAGTAAGTGAAAGATACCTTAACTTGCACTCCTAAACACTTGTTTTTGTATAAAACAACAAATTGTTACAAAAATAGTAACATTAATTATATATATATATATATATATATATATATATATATATATTTTTTTTTTTTTTTTTTTTTTTTGCAGGGAACTGGTGCAATTGAAGGAATATGGTTAGATATAACACAAAATACAAATATAAATTTAAGCTCTAAAGCATTCAGAAAGATGCCAAACTTGAGATTACTTGCTTTCCAATCCTCCAATGAAGACTCTGAGATAATTAACTCACTGTACCTCCCAAAGGGTCTTCAATTCTTACCTAAAAACTTAAGATATTTGGAGTGGAATGGATATCCACTAAAATCTCTACCATCAAGTTTTTTCCCTGAGAAGCTTGTTGAGATTTCCATGCCATTCAGCAATGTGGAAAAACTTTGGCAAGGAGTACTAGTATGTTTTTTTCACGTGTTAATTATGTATTCATTTTTCACTTTTACTTTTGACAGAAATTTCCAGGAAAATGTATTTACTTGTTCGGTCCATTATATGTTGTTGCAGAATTTCCCAAGTTTAGAGAAAATTGAACTTCGTGGCTCCAAGAACCTTTTGGAGTGTCCAAAGTTGTCTCATGCACCAAAACTCAAGTATGTTAGTATGCGAGATTGTGAAAGCTTGCCTTATGTTGATCAATCAATCTTCTCCCTCCCCAAGCTTGAAACTTTAAATGTGAGCGGATGCAAATCGCTTAAGAGTCTTAGCAGCAACATTTGGCCACAATATCTCCGAGTATTGTTTTTAGCACATTCTGGTTTGAATGAACTGCCTCCATCAATTTTGCATATCAGGAACCTCCATATATTTTCTTTTCTGATTAATGATGATCTTGCGGATCTTCCTGAAAACTTTACGGATCAACTTTCGCTTTCCGACTCGAGGGAAGATGAATGTGACACTTTCTTGACCTTGCATCATTTGATGTCTAGCTCAGGCTTCCAGTCTGTAACAAGTCTTGCATTTTACAATTGTCAAAGCTTGTGTGAAATCCCAGATAACATCTCCTTGTTATCATCATTGAAATGCTTTAGCTTACGTTATAGCACCATCATTAGCTTACCCGAAAGCTTTAAGTATCTTCCAAGGCTCAAACTTCTTGAAGTTGGTAACTGTAAAATGCTTCAGCATATACATGCACTCCCACAATCCATTCAGTTATTTTATGTCTGGAACTGTGAATCTCTTCAAACAGTGTTAAGTTCAACGGTTGAATCATCCAAAATACCCAAATGTAGTTATCTGCTCCCTAATTGTTTAAAATTGGATGAACATTCATATGATGCAATTTTGAAAGATGCTATTGTTAGGATTGAACTTGGATCAAAACATTTGTCAGCAGTAGGATTGCAAAATGAAGAAGATGGATCCTCGGATAATGAGATGGGTGATTTTTATTTTTTTCAATTAGCAAGAAATGGTAAGATTTGCTACTGTTTACCAGCTAGAAATGGCAGTGTTCAAGATTGGTTGCATTACCACTTTACACAAGATTTGGTCACCATTGAACTTCCTCCTAATTTGTTGGGTTTCATTTTCTACTTGGTTGTTTCTGAAGTCCAATCATGCAACATTGGACGCTATGGAAGTATTGGATGTGAATGCTACTTGGAAACTAGCAGGGACGAAAGAATGAGTATACCAAGTTTCTTTGTAGAAGAAAATATCTTGTCTAATCATGATCCTCCATTTGGATTTATGGAAGATCACATATTTTTATGGTATGATGCCCAATGTTGCAAGAAGATAATGGAAGTAATTAAAGAAGAGAAAGCCATTGATGACAAGAGCAATATTCATCATCCAAAGGTTACATTTAAATTCTTCGCTCAAACCGAAGATAGCAGTGAAGCGATGGTCATAAAAGAGTGTGGGTTTCGTTGGATGCATTCCTTAGAAGAAGGAGGATTCGAATTCAAGAAAAACAAGGATATTCATGGAGTAGAAGAAGCCAACAGTTTCCCAAAAGTTGAGGACTCTAAGTCTAACGTGCAAGAAGGAACATTTCTCCCAACAAAAAAAATTAAGCAACAAGAAGGAACAGAAGACTTGAGGTAATCTTTCTAAATATCATTATCATGATAATTAGAAGTACTTAATTTAGTTTACACTGCACACTTTACCTGTTGCATTTTCTGGTTTCAACGAAACAAGCTTAATAACATTTACACGTAGAAATATTATTGTTTATGACAGGTACGTTCTCGAAGAACTATTGCATATTGGATTTGGTGGAGACATCGTGTAGAAGAAATTGTGGTACCGTTATGTTGCAATATAAAGATGTGCAAGCAATACGATGCCTTTGGTAGTATGGTCATTTTCAGCTTAATTATTTGAGCGTAAACTTTCTTTTTAAAGCATAACATAAGCCTTTCATCATGCCAAAACTCTTTATTTATATGGAGCATGTTAATTTTTAAACCCTTTGTTTATCTTGAATAATTATATGAACTTTTAAAATATCCTATTTATAAAGCAATGTCTACAAAAATAAACTATTTGTTATAAATAAATAATTTATCGATTAGTTTTATAACATACATTAATTGATATATATTTATATTAAATACATGAAAGTTTATGTTTAACAATTTTCATATTCAAAGATATCAAATTTTATATTCCAATATTATATGAATTAATTTTAATTTATTTCCGTGTTAGGGTTTAAACACTACTTTTAAATAAAAATAAAATAAAATAGCAGGAGCCGTAATGGCGGTGGTGACCCACCTTAACAAGGCCCACATCACAGAAGCCCATAGCTGAAGAAATCGCAGGAAACCTCCAGATAATCGAAAAAGCATAGGCCATAATTTTCCCAAATTTATATAACGAAACACCAATTTCGTTCAGAGTAAGAACAAGAGGTGAAGTTTGAGCCATGTTCTTCTTCTTCGTAGGAGGGTTACAGCAAGAGGTGCGGCAGGTGCTGAAATCCGGTGTGAGCAAGTGCACGTACTGCGGCCACCGCGTCGATCTGGTGAACTCCGACAAGGTTCTCAAACTCTTCTTCGTTCCCGTGTGGCGGTGGCCGGCCAAGGATCCTCTATTCCATTGCGCCAATTGTAAGAACTTCTTCCCCTACAATTACTCTCTGCCGCCAGCCGCCGCCGAATCGGCGGTACCTGAAGCCTTGCGCTGCCGCTTCTGCGAGCGCGCAGTTGAGGCCGACTTCCGATTCTGCCCCTTCTGCGGATCCGAACTGTGAATGCAAAATTTGGAGTGGTTTGAAAAAAATTAAGCGAAATAAATTAAATTGAGGATTTGTTAGTTGTTACTATATGCCTTGTTATGTTCAATATATATCATCTTTCTGAAATTGAATAATAATTTGTAGTGGGAGTGTTAGTTTGAAATTGAGAAAGACCGTCATTGTAGTCACTGAAATTAAAAAGTGACCGAAGAAAAATTCAAATTTTAAATTTATTTAATATTTTTTTATATCAGAAAATATCTGAAAAAGGTAATTTACTCTTGGCCGGCCAAAATTGCACTATCGGTGTTTATCTGCAATTTTTTAGAATATCAACGATCTCACGGACATCATAAAATTCAAAGCCTTGAATTAATAACATTGCCATATAAATATTGTTTCATACTACATGCCCTTTTGTTCCAGGGTGGGGTTAAGGCACCAGCTGAGATGGTGCAGATATCACAAGGGAAAAATGTATTGACACTGTACACGAAATTGGGAAAAAACAAAAAAGAAAAAAACGGTGAAAAGGTGGTCAAGACTGGAGTATATTTGGAAAGGAACAGCCTCTCATGAATACAACAGTTCCCGGCTGGTCTTGTAGAGATGAAGCCTTGAGTTGAAAAAGAAAAATTCCTATTCGGAGGTTTAAGTAGCATTACTGAGTGAGATTGAGAAAAAAGAAGAATAATAAACGCTGTTAATTCTGTATTTGATCTATTGAGGTGAATGGTAATTGTTTAGCTCCTCGCTCCAATGCATCTCTCCACATTCTGTATCTCACCCCAAGCTTGTCATAGGATACTGGAAAATTCCATACATTTGCACCATTGTTCATTCGCTCTTGCTGCCCCACCACTAGCCGTAGATCCTCATTTAAAACCTTTTGTAAATAAACATCAAGACACCAATTAGCACAAGTTGGGGAAGGAAAAGATAACATCTATTTAAGAACAAAACTTACATAAAGTTTTTCATGTTCTTGTTATTATCGTATGTATTTAGATGGTGACACGTGAATTTTTTTTCTTTTGCAACATACTGCTATCCACATATCATTTGAGTTGATAATTTGATAGTAATGGCATAATGAGAACATTATCACTTCAATAAACTTTGTCTTTTCTTAACCAGAGAATTGTACTTTAATAAATAATCAATACTAAAAATTCAAATCATGTTGAGTAATAGGCAAAATAATGATAGATTTTTAAGACTCTACTAGTGTTTTTTGTACCTTATGCATGTCCAAATATCCCAATTTATGAGTATATCTACGACAAGAACTTGCAGATAAACCCCTGAAGCTGTGACTCATATCAAAGTCCCTGAATTAATTAATTCCTAACATGATTGACGGGTTGAAGTTCTACGGAATTTATTCAATTTCCTTTGTTTCAAGACGAAGATGGGCACGCCTAACAGTTAAAGGACGAAATGGGTAATTTACCCCCTTTTTTTTATCTCTTTTGTTCTTCCTCCCTAATTCAAAACTGGTTATCAAACATAGTTAAATATAAATTCAGTACTCGAAAAACTCTACCTGTTCTGCGAAATGCTTCCATAGATATTGCATTAAAGGTACATGCTTAAGCAGAGGAGCGAAATCCAGTGACATTCTATATAGCAATCTTGTCTTTTGTTTTGAAGATGGTAAACAGACATGAAGTTGGTGCAGGTGCGTTGAACATTCCCTGGTATTTTGTCCTTCCAGTTTCCCCGGCTTTGAAATTCCAATGGTTGATAGAACCATGCAAGGTGGTCGAAACTCCATATCAATAGGATAAGGATCCCAGTATCCTTGCAGGCCAGACGCAGGTGTCAAAAATTTCACCAAGCTGTAAATTCATTCAAGGAGACTGAGTGAGCTACAAAATTATTACATACACATAACAGAAAGCTGAAACATTCCTTTCATAAGCAATTCAAAATAAAAGGTTTACTACATAATGATATTGAAAAGGCCAAGAAAAATATCCCTTTCGAATGCATTTACCATAAAATCGTCAATGGGAAACGACTTCGTAGAATGCATTGTTATAACATTTAATATTTTCAGTAATATTCCAAGTCTTTGTTTAGTAATAATTTTTGCTTTGTCTGAGATCATAATAGAAGCCTAAAGCTTCTAGGGAAGTTGGACGAAAGGAAAAGAGGATTTTGATGAATTGGAAACAATCTTTTTTGTAACATCCCCAAAGGCATTTTGATCCCTTAATCACTGGTTCTCTTATGAATGACAACTGCTTTCAGTTTTTCAGGGTACAAATCAAACAAACCTGGGAACACTCCATCCCTTAGCGAATGTTGACGTGTGAGTAAAAGGGGCATGTGCAAGATCTAAAAGATTGTCCAAAAGTAAACCATGTTCGATTGGAAGTTCCATCACAATCTGTAACGAGGGAAGAGCGACCAAGTAAGAAAACACATCATTCGCTTAATCAATCATGTAATTATAATTCTTTTATCTTGCATTGAACACAATACCTAATGGAACAGATTATATTCATAATATACCTCAGCATGGATTTCAAATCCAGAAGGAGGTAGTAAAGATGGAAGGGTGGCTGTTGGTGGGTCATTGCCAGGCCAAATCCAGATCATTCCCTCTTTTTCAAAGCATGGAACTGACTTTATTTTCACATTTAGAAGTCGAGTAGATGGCATTTTCTCACATTTTCCATCAGTGGTATATTCCCAGCCTGATATCCAACCATTTGGTAATTTTAGAGTCTGTATATTTCAGAGTACATAAATCTGTAGGTTGTATCGTGTCTTGTGAAATTACAGATAAATTGTCAAGTATCAACAAGTATAAATAACTCACTTATAATAAAGACATAATAATTTGTTCCAGTGACTACTAACCATGGTAGGGGCATTGGATACGACCCTCATTTACTGAACCAAGGTGCAGAGGACAGGCTCTGTGTGCACAAGTATTCTGGACACATCCAGGCTTTCCATCTTTCCCTCTGAAGATAACCCATGGTTCCTCAAAACATTCTATTGGGATCTGAGATTGAAAAAGAGCAACACACTTATGAGAATTCATATTTTGTGCCACAAAAAAGACATTTTAGTAGCCTACATGGGTATAGTCAAATGGAGAGGTTAGGATAGAAACCTTAAATTCAACTCTCTTATAGGTGAAAAAAAAAAGAAAGAAAGAAGGCATATCAATCTGAAGATATGTCATATGTTCATTTATTTTGCTCTGTTGTCTGATGAAAGAAAATATTCCACTGTCATATCACAATTGGTTTTAAGTTGATTTCGTTTGATTGAAATAGATGACAAAAATATTGCAAGTATATGATAGATATTTTTTCAGAAAAAATACACTTGACACATACCATGGTATCATCCTTCAAGTCGCTAGAGAAAGCAACAGGGTACCAGAAATTCTTCAAGTGGGGATGGTACGACTGAACCGGGCCTGATACATTCAAGCTTTTCCGTGGCTGCCTTCTCTTTTCTGTAACTAGAGAATTCGCAGATGTACTGGGAGAAGATGTTGTTTGGGAAATTTCAGCTGTGCTTCTGTCTAGCAACAGCCTATCGTTTACCAATTCTTCCATGTATGCAAGCTTATCTAAAGCAGTGGTAACCCTTGCTTCAGATATATGAACCTGTTTTTATTCGTTTACATAAATTTAGTAGCAGATTTAACGAATTGACAAGTATCTGCTAGTTAGATAAATTAAAAGCAATTCAGTTTCAAGTTGTTCTGACTGGTATATCACTGCTAAAATTCTATACCTGTCTGTGTGCGTGTGCTAATTCATCCTGCAACTCAGCTAGCTCCTTTTTCAGGGTCCCAATTGATTTATATTCACGAGCTAGAGGATTGAGAACTTCAACTACCTACACCCACAATTTGTAAAGGTCTATATATCAACACATGGTGGAAATGTGTAAGTCAATGAGTAAAAGTGTAAAAGGGCATAGTCAAACAAAAATCATATTGAATCAATTTTATAAAAGTCAATATTCTCAAAGACTAAACTTCAGCAAACAGCATGATTCATTCAAGCATCAAATTGATTCTATATAGCAATAACATAACAATGAAATCAGTTGAAACCTTTTCATGGAGGAGCATGATTGTAAGTACATCTTGCCGAGCTCGCCAATCTAAGTACTGAATATCATGTCTTGCCACTTCCAGGGCTTGATAGATATCCAAAACCTTCCCTTTATTCTGTGGAATCTTAGATCTCGGATCCTCAACATCAAACAGCGCACCCCATGCATTTTTCTTCTCTTCTTCTCCAAATACAGCAAACACTTTAAATCTACATTTCAAATCCTGAAATTTGACATGCCCCAAAAAATGTAAGCTAGAGAGAACAAACCCCACTCATTCAGTTAATAAATTACCCCCCTTTGAAGGAAAAAATTGCTATATTTTAACTACTTATCTAGGCAAAGGTTTAACAAGATGAACAAGTACCCAACTACCATTAATTAATGAAACCTGCAAGAAACAGTGTAAATGAATGCCATTTTGCCAAGCATTACACTTCAAGCTACAATTGAGCTAAAACTAAATACACATGACAAATGTTCATCTTCAACTCAATTGTATGCAGACACCCAAAAAAAAATGACTGCTCTAAAGTAGACTAGGATCAACAAATTCCCCTCCATGTCTACTATGTAATGTACCCTTCCAACTGTAGAACTTAAACAATCACAGATGGCTAACTAAGTTCATGTACACTTGGACGGTAAACCAATTTAACATTATCATTTGATCACAAACAATGGTTACAAATATTCATTGGTATAACTTTTAAGATAATTATTGTAGCCTTCTTCTCGTTAAACAACGAACTTAAACTCTACTTTTACAATTACCTTAAAGTTAAAAGAAAGCACGGTAAAGTACAAGAAAACACCCCTAGAAGAAGAAATAACTTTACCCTTCTGGTGTCAAATTTGGAAGCTCCAAGAAAAAATGGAAGAGAGAGAGCTGAAGCAGTGAAGATGGCATTCATGGCGGAGAAGAAGTGAGAGTGAGAGCGAGAGCGTGAAGAAGAGAAGAGAACCGTGAGAAGACATTGACGAGGGAGATTTAACAAGTCAGGATTTTGTTGATAAGAGGTTGGTATTGCGCGCGATCTCGCTTTGCCTTCCGTGGATCGCCACGTGGACTCTCCGTTGCTCACGTGGCGGCTGTTTCTTCCACATGCTTTGTGAAGTATCTCGCGAGCGTGGGGCCCGCACCAGTGCCAGCTCGGACTGGGATGATATCTTCTCTATCCTCTCCGCGCTCTGTTTTTCGTCGTTTCCTAGAATTTCGATTTGTTGTTTGGGGGAAAAGAAAAAAAGCGTGGCATTAATAGCGGCCAAAGATTTTTGCGAAGAACTCTGAAAAAGCCGTTCGCTTAATGTGTGTGGTTGTGCCAAGTGGGATTTGGTTTAGAGTTTCTAAGGTCACCAAGAGAGTCTTTTTAAGATATTTTTAGCTGCAAATATGTTCTCCTATACTGTGCCCTAAATTATGCTCCTTCTTTTTTCAAAAAAAAAAAAAAATATATATATATATATAAAAGATTCTTTTAAAGAATCATAGTTTAATAATTAACTAGTTTTTAAGGGAACTTTATCTAAATTAATTACAAAACTAGTGTAAACATGAATTTAATCATTGTTTAATTTATTAGATTCAATTCAATTAAATAAATGTTGAGTTATATTAATTGTAAATTATTGTTTGAATACAAAAAAAAAATACAAATTTGAACGTTAATTTGATGAATCGATCAGCTATGAATAATTTTTAATCTGTTTAATTTTGCGTGCTATGAAAACTTCCCACGTTATAACTGTTTGTGTTTGATAAATAATCTTGTGTAACATTGGTTGATATAATTTGTCAATTAATCAATGAGAATAATTACAATTATAATGACTCACTTAACAAAAAAAATTATATTTGTAAAAAATAATGATTGCAAAATTTGGTATGGTTCGGGTACTCATAAAAGAATAAAAAAAACTTTTTTTTAAACAATATTATTACAAATTTTCGTATATCAAATTTAATCCAATTGTTTTCTTTTAAGTGGGAAAAAAATCCTCACGTTTGTTTACTACATTCATCACTAACCTAATTAATACTCGTTTTTTATATTGTCTACACAAAAACTTAATTTATATTGCATATCTGATTATGTCATAAATATTTTATTAATATTTATAGTTATTTTGTTATAATAATAATAATAATAATAATAATAATATTTAAAAAATAGTATAATTTTTTTATTTTTTATTCTCAACTTTTTTTATGCAGAAATCCAATATCAATGAAAAAAAAAGGAAAAAGAAAATGAAAACAAATGGGGAAAGATAACACATTTTAATTGCAGAAATTCAATATCAATAAAAAAATAAAAAACAAAAATAAGGTCCTACCGGGAGTCGAACCCAGGTCGCTGGATTCAAAGTCCAGAGTGCTAACCTCTACACCATAGAACCATTTTGTTAATATAGTATAAAGGTTTTTAATTAGTTCCTTAGTTATAAAGTGTATGATATACCATGAGCTTATAATGCAATAATTTTTAATATGGAATTTAGTATTTTTAATAAATAAATAAAAAATACTAATACCCTAATTCAAATACGGATCAAGTTTATAATTATAAATTATAATGGTCCGTAATCTATGCATAAAAAATATTTATTTATTTATTTTATCACTATAATTCAACAAACTTTGTAGTTCTTATAAATAATTTTTAATTTGTATAGGCTATCCGGTTAAAGGGTAAAATTAGATATACTATTCATAAAAACCGAAAGAAATTGAAATTATATATAGAAAAAAGTAGACTGAGTTTTTTTAGGCATAAAAAAAATTGTATGATTATAGAACTAAATAATTAATAAATAAATAAAAAATAAGAAATACGTTAAATGATAAAAGGTTAGTTAATTTGCATACACCAGTGAACTATATCTGTAGTGATAATCGACAGTGTGCTTCTTTTGTTTAAGTTTAATAATTTTGTTGAAATAATGTAACAAAACGGGGTGGTGGCGCAGTTGGCTAGCGCGTAGGTCTCATAGCTTCTGAGTTATCCTGAGGTCGAGAGTTCGAGCCTCTCTCACCCCAAAATTTGATCTTTTTTATTTCTGAGGTTATATACGTTTGATTTTATTTCTAAGAGGATGAGAGGACAAACAATTTGAACTAAAACTCAGGTTAGTGAAAAACGATTTTTTTTAATCAAATGTCAGAAAACATAAATCCTGATCAAGATTAGAAAAAAAATATAAAATTATACACTTTATGTCAATTGAGTGTTGTTAAATCTTTTCTTAGAATAGCAAGATCAAAATATTTTACAACTAGAGAAAAGAATGACTTGTGCTACGGTTAATTCACTATATCTCTAAATTTCTAGCCGAATCCCACTCTTGGTTCTGGAGAAAAATTTTGCAAAACCGTTTCTACTCCTCTCAGAACTGACATGATTTGGTATGGCTGGTGAAGTTGACGAAGATGACGAAACCGGCGAGGTCTCCATATTTTTGTTTGAGGATGGACAAGAGCTACCATCAGCCAACCTTGAAGAAATGGAATCTCTTTTAGGTGAAAATGTGCCATTTGAATGCAACTTCCACATTTCCCCACCAGCCTGGGCAATGAGTGATGGACTAGCAGGAATGCTTGCAGTGTCAATGAGGAAATCTTCTAGTGTAGCCAGGGATTTCAACTGATTTCCCAAAGATGCTATTGTTTTCTGGCACTCAGCAAGCTTTCCAGCAGCTAATGCTAGGTCCTCCTGGCATAGAAAAGACCACATCCTTACATGAGTTACAGAAAACATATTTAACCAATTCCTTCTGTGACAAAATTTAAATACAATTCTACATATGCTTTTAGTGATTTCTCTTGTTAGAATTGAATTTTTACCTCAATATTTGTGTTGGCATTTAATAGAAACCTTCATCACATACATTACCGAGATAAAACTTATGATTGGACAAACGCACCAAAAGCCTATATGAGACTGTCTAAATTTTGTCCCTCCTAGTTTGTAAAAAGATGAGTGATAAAAGATTTAATATAGATGTCAATGATGACCAACCTGCTTAATCTTCTTTTCTCCATATGAGCTAGGAGTTGACCTAAGCAACTCTTCCTCCAATTCCCTACATTTCATTGCAATTTCTTTTGAAGTTGTCCTCTCCTTATGAACCTCTTCTTCTAACACGTCAACCTTTGCAGATTTGCTTTCTAGCTTCTCTTCCAGATCCTTACACTTCATTGAAATTTCATCCGACACAGTCCTTTCTTTATCAACTTCTGCTTCTAATAACTCAACCTTTGCAGACTTGCTCTTCAGCACTTCCTCCAGGTCCTTACACTTTTTTGCAATTTTATCTGATTCCGCCCTTTCCTTAGCAACTTCTGTTTTTAATATGTCAACCTTAGCAGATTTGCTTTCTAGCACTTCCTCCAGGTTCTTGAACTTTTTTGCAATTTTATCTGATTCTTCCCTTTCCTTATCAACTTCTGCTTCTAATATGTCAACCTTAGCAGATTTGATTTCTAGCACTTCCTCCAGGTTCTTGAACATTTTTGCAAGTTTATCTGATTCTTCCCTTTCCTTACCAACTTCTGCTTCTAATATGTCAACCTTTGCAGATTTGCAGTCTAGCTCTTCCTCCATGTCCTTGAACTTTTTTGCAATTTTATCTGATTCCTCCCTTTCCTTCGCAACCTCTGCTTCTAACAACTCAACCTTTGTGGATTTACTTTCTAGGTCTTTCTCCAGCTGCTTATACTTCATTGCAATTTCACTTGACACATCCTTCTTCTTATCAAGTTCAGCTTCTAGTGTGTCAACCTCTGCAGATTTTCTTTCTAACTCTTCCTCCAAGTCCCTAAACTTCATTGCAATCTCACTTGACACGGCCCTCTCCTTATCAACCTCAGCTTCTAAGAATTCAACCTTCACTGATAATGTTTGAGCCTCAGTCACCATGTCCAGTAGGTGATCTTCTACCCTTTGCTTTGAATTGTAGGCATTTTCTAGCTCTCTTTGCAACTCCTCCAATTTCTCTTCTGCTTCCCTCAACTGAACTTGTGACTCTTCAATACACTCTTCACTTTTCATCAAAGCTATCTCTAGTTCAGCTTTATCAGCTTCCACCTTCTCTAACTTATCTTTTAACTCATCGATTTGCTGATTCATGATCTCGAACTCTACAATGCGAGAGCTTTCTTTGTTGGTGCATTGATTAGTAACAACTGACTCTTGGACCAAGCTTTCCTTCTTAGTTTCAGGCAATGCAACAAGTCTTTCCATTTCAAGAAAATCGTCCATGAACTCAATTTTAACAGAACTGGATGGAGTTTGTCTGCACTTTTCATTCTTGAACTGATCAAGCTCAGCAATTAGTGCAGATGCCCACGAGTCGGAACAACTTGGCTCACACTTGTTTGGCTCTGAGCCATTCATCTTGTGAGCTTCAATTTCCACTACAGTATGCCGCTCTGCACTGTCTGAATGACTATCAGTTAGAGATTCAACACTGAATGAGGACTGAACAATAGCTTTATGCTCATTAACTAAGGAAGCTCTTGAAGCAACACTCCTCAATCTCCGGCATTCAGCTTCAAGCTTGGCTACTTTCTTGATGCTTTCCAAATGCTGCCTGCTAGCTGTCTCAGCAGCTTGAGTGCTTAGATCCCTCTCAATTGTCCTGATTTCCAGCTCTTCTGATTGAACTAGGATCTCTTGCCTGAGAGCAATGTTCTCTTTCTCCAAACATTCTAGCTTTTGACACATATCAAAGTCAACAGAAGACCTGGCTTCTGAAGCATCTAATCTTTTTTGTAGCTCAGTGAGTTTGTTCTCAAGTTTAATTTTCGCTGATTCCAATTCTTGGGTCTTTTTTGCAACAGCATCATAAATATTCTCTTCTTGCTCTTCTCTTGTCTGTCTTAGCTGCCTAACACACTCCTTAAGTGCTCCATCTAGATGAGTGACTCGATCTTCCAAAACTGAATTCCTGAGAATGACTGTGTCAAGTTGTTTCTTTAAAACTGCCACTTCATTTTCAGCCTTTTCCCAGCCTAAATTAAAGAAAACATGTCCAATTAATAAACAATCCAAAAGGGGAGAAATAGAAAAAGAAGGAAAATAAATATACCAAGGAATTATAAACGGAGATTATTATTATGCCAGTGTCAGCATCTAAATGTTCTGATAGGTCATATGTAAGCCTCTTGATCTAATTTACTATTGAGATAATTCAGATGTGATTCAAGTTTTAACTTCTATAAACCCTACCTAAGTCCTAACCCCTCCTTTACGATGAACTTATGGGGTGGTTTTCTTGTTCAACATTCAGATGATATATTGTTTCGTAGCATATTGAAGGATGAATAATCAAGAAAAAAAAAAAAGTATAATCAACAGTGTTTTTCTAAAAAATTATGGCGAGCAATGTAGGAATGTACCTGCAATGGCTTCTTCAGCAACTTTGGCATGCTGCTTAACCAAGTCTTCTTTCGCATTGACATTCACTAGTGCAGCAGATAGCTTCTCGGACATGTTCCTCAACCCATCATTTAGAACATCTTCCTTAGCATCTTTTATATTTTCATTTTCTCCATTTTCGTCTTTTACTGATGAAGCATCACTTGTAATGCCTGTAGCAGGTACAGATTTAGAGGTGACTTCTTCAGGCAATTGTTCATTGATGAATGAACTATGGTTAACTTCTTCTGCATAGACCGTAGCCTTTGATGTGACATCAGTTGAGTGATTGATTCTACTAGGAGATTCCTTCAATGCCTCCTATTTTCAAGTTTCAAAGTCAGAAAAGAAAGGATGAAATCGATGGTAAACTTCATTCAGACATGGACATTATGCTAAAACTACAGGATCAGAAGCCAATTCAAAGGAGAAGGAATGAAAGATATGTCGTTCAAGGTTGGAAGAGAAGTTACTAAATACATTCTTGAATGCACTAAACATCGACCAAACTGGATTCATTTTCGGAACAGCTACTAAATATAGGCTGTACAAAATGTGAACTTAATTTCAATCATGTATTTTCTACTATATAAAAATTGAATAATCAATGAGTTATGTATTCAGGTGGCTTATTCGAATAATTTATGCCTAAACAAACAGAACTATAAATCTAACTATTTTTTTTCACATAGGAGAGAAATCAAAAGGAGGGACAAGTAGATTCTGCCTTAAAGAATCTAGGGTGGTGAATGATTAATTGAGGAACCTAGTTTTATTAAAAGAACTTGTCAACTCAATATGACTTTTTCAGTCTTTTCTGTCACACAATTCCTAAAAGTTATATCAGTAGATTAAAAACGAAGCATATGAAGCAAATATAATTTATATTTAGTGATTATAAGAATAATTCTTATATGTATATTCATCTCACATTATGTGATTCGGGAACACAGAAATCAGAAGAGAAGAAGAGCACAACCAGCGAAACAAACTCAGCTTGGCAGTAAGTGAACAATAAACTTTATGCAATAACAAGTAAGGAATCTTATGTTTCGTCATCAAAAAAGGGAGTCAAATTATAATTCAAATCTTCTGACTAGTGCCTGTGAGATACTACTAAAGTGAATTCAAATATTATAAGACGCCAAATGATAAAGAAGTCTAAGATTAGGTCCCCCATTTGGCTACTATTCCAGATTGTTCATCATACCTGTTCATCTGAGTACCTCTCAGAATGAGAAGAAACAGATCCTGAACTTTCAGTTTCACCGGGGCTCTTCTCAGAAGACTTCCTCTTCCACGGCCATCTCTTCTTATCCATCATTGGGTCCAACAATCTAACATTAGCTTAAAAATGCAGGGCACTCATCTGCAAATATTACCCAAATGCTCAGAACCTGATTCAAAACCCACCAAAATTCCAGTTCAAAATGTCAATTTTATGATGAAGGAAAACATGAACAAAGATGTTCCAACCTACTAGCCCTAACATTCAGAAAGCAGAAATCCAGAAAATACACTTCCCCTTTACCAACCTCTGTAATTTAAAAAAGCATAAAAAAATTATCAAGAGAAAAAAAACATATGCTTAACATTCTCCTCCAGGCTTGCTCATAGACACAAAACTCATAAATTAAAAGAAGAAATCTTTTAGCTCCGTTATCATGAGCTAAATCCCACTCAACTCTAGGAACATCATTGATAGCTTTTTTCGTCCACACTATTGAAATTTAAAATCCAACAGCTACAAAACATTCTGCAGCACATTTACTAACCCAAATAATAAAACAGTAGTTGGCGGCTCAAAACCGATTAAAAAGGCATAAGCATATTTCCCAATTCCCAAAGTGAAAAATAAAAAATAAAAATCCTAAAACATTGCTACCCATTTCAGTCATTGAACTAAAAATGCCTCAAACACTCTCCCAAAAGTAACTGAAAAAGAAAACTTTAATTGAAAAAAACCGAGCAAGAAAACAAAAATCAAATACCTTTGACCTTTAAGGCCAAGGCTAAGTGAACCAACCCAACTGCAGAACAGCTGGAAGCAAAATAATAAATGGAGGCAAAAGAATGGCTGGGAGTTCGGAATGGTGATTTACGAGTAGAGAAGCAAGGAACAAAGGTATTAAATGACACCAATAAGAAAGTTTATCAACAATAAAGAAAAAGGGCAGGCAAAAACTCTGTGGAGTGTCAGTAACAGTGAGCGTTCACAATTTCTCAGAGCAACCACTGTGGGGAAGTAACAGATAATGAATGGGGCTTCTATACCTTGTTTTATTATTTCTTACCTTTTACGTTTATTTTGGAATATTAAAATTTTCGGGCCACGTGATTGTAAATGCGTCAGAGTTGTGAAATTCAAAGGGTGGGTGTACTACTGTGAGTGGGGTGTGTGACAGTGTGTGCGTGAGAGACCACAAACAACTTTTTCAGCTTTTTAAGGAAAAGGTTTTTTTGTTTCATTTTTAATGCAGTACTAATTTGAACTTCAGCTTCTCCTGTTCCCGCCCAGGCACCATACAAATCTTACCTTCTCCATTTTCCAGTTAATTTTAGTTTCTTCATATGTTCTCTATCCATTTATTCCATCCTAAAATTCTCCCTCTATTTTAAACGGATTGAAGTTTAAGGTTTTTTTGTTTCACACGTTAAATATGTTAACTTTACATTAAATTAATAAAAAAGTTGAAGTGTTTTATAAATATACTACACTCAAATTTGTGAAGAAAAATTAAGAGAATTGCCAAGTAATGATGATAACAATTAGACTTTTGTAATTCAAAACATTCACCTTCAAAAAAAATAAGATAAACTTTCTCTTACCTTTCTTGCTTACAGTCTTGCCAAATTCTAATGCCAACCACACCTTTGTGTTTGTTTTTGATGAATTTGTTTGGGTAAATGTCTCTTCTTTGGGTCATTTGTGGGCATTACAGTGTTGTTAACAGTACCACAACTTTATGAGGAATCCAATTAGTACATTGTTGTTATTTATTTTGTCCTTGTTTGGTAGCCAATGATGCATGGCCCAAGTAGGGAAAGCTTGTTCTCTTTTAAAACACAGAAGAAATGTATCAATTCCAGTATAAAATTTTAAAAAATAATAATAAAATAAAGTAGAAGTGGGACTTTGAGGGAAACTCTAGAGTAGCCATTGCTTTCATGTCATTTTCTTCACAAATTGACAAATAACTAACCAATGGACTCATTCTCAGCTCTCTTCACTTCACTTCACTATAAAAAAATGCTGTCCCGTTTTGTTATTGGGGTCAAATCCACCATTTATTAAATATAAATAGTTTAAATATAAAGGGAATGAATAATCTTCTGTATTATTGAATGGGCAAAAAAGATATACATATATATATATATATAATTCAAGCATTTATTTTAATTTTTTTTACAGGTCAAATAATATTTATTTTTTACAAGTTAAATACAGTGCAGAAAAAAAAGTATCCTAACTAATCCGCTTTTTTCCTAATAGAAATCTCAATAATTAACTATAATTCCAAGTTAGTCAATAAGTTTTGTTTACTTGACAAACAGTGATAGACATGATTGAATTACACTTATCTTTAAGCTAGTTTATACGTGTCAAATAATAATTTGAGTGTTGAAGAGATTATGCACGTGATGTTGTTTAACAAAAAGATTTTGAAAGTTTAAAATTTGAATCATCATGGTTGTTCTTCACAAAGTCCTATTAGTTGATGATTATGTGTGTGTTGACCTTTGTCGGTGGTGTGGTCCTCCTTGCATTCTGCAAAGACCTTCATAGTCAAGTGATGAGAAGGAGAGTTATGAGGAGATTAGATAAAATGATGAAAGCTATCTTTTAAGGAATTTTCCTTCTCACTGTTTACAGCACTGCTTTGAAACACACAATGTAAGTGAGAATCCATTTACAAATCATTAAGTTATTTCCAAATAAAAATTAAATAAATAATTGATTAAATTTTTGTGTGTTATTAACATATTTATAAATATATTGAATTAATGAATTGAGTAAAATATTGAAATTTTAATGGGAAATAATAATAGAGATAAGAAAATCGACATTAAATGGTAGGAGGTTAAAATGGAAAGAAGTGTAGAAGTAGATTGAGAATAAAAACAATTAGAGAATTAGTTGAGAAGTAATTAAAATCTAGAAATTAAAAATATAATTGAAATTAAAGTTAATGGTTAAAACAATATCGAAAGAAAGGATAAGAGTTCATAAAAGAAATTAAGAAAAAAAATAATGTAATCAAACTAAAAATTACAGCTTTATGAGAAAATGAAAAATAATATCAGGAAGATAAATATTGTCAGAGATAAATTAAAAACTTAAAAGAATTAAAAAAAATTAAAGGAATTTCCAGAAAATTTATTAAAATATAAAGATTTAGAAAAATAGATAAAGACAATTATATAGACAATTATATAAACCAAAAACAATAAAAAATTGATAAAGAGTCATGCAATCAAAAAATATATAAAAGTACTTGTAGAAAAAATGATTATTTTTGTATTTTATTTAATTTCTAGCGGTTATATAAAAAATATAAATAAGATAGGAAAAAAAATATAAATGGGTAATTTTCAAATTGTGAGAAGATTTATATTCTAAAAAATGGTGCAAACACAAAACAAACATTTTTAATAAAATTGGCTTAATTTTGTTATAAATTTATATTTTATTCTTAATAATAGGTTAAATTTATTTTAATGTAATTTATCTTCATCACATATTTATTTTTTCTGTAATTTACTATCCTAGATTTATCTTTTTCACATTTTACTTTAAATATTGAAACTTATTTTAAAAATTCAACTTATATAATGAAAATCACTCAAGATTAAGATTATCTTATTGATAAGTGATAATCAAGTTATTTATCAAGGATTCTTTAAATAGAAAAACTTGTATATTTGTTAGTTAAAATTAAAATAATTCGCACAGTGATTAAATTGGTTTAACGCTGAAAAAACATTGTGTCAAACTAATTTTGTTATAAAATATAAAATTATTTTTAAAATATTATTTTTATAATATATATATATATATATTATTTATTTTCATTTATCAAATTATATAAATTTTAAATAATATTTATTTTATTATATTTTCATTTTATTTTATGATTATTAATTTTTATTTTTTACTATATTTTGTAGTCTTTAATTTTATACAAATTTGATAGCAACATTTTTTTATCATTGTAGTTTTTTTTTCATTAAAAGTTGTTATTGTTAATAAATTTATTATATAATAATTTTATTAAAAAACTAACTTAAATTTTAGTTCAATATTTAAATTTTAAATTCATGTCTTTAAATATTGATATAGTTTTTAAATTATTGATTTATAACATATTTTGTGATTTTAAATATAGAATTAGTGAACATGAATTGACTGTTTTTTTTTACGAATAATTATATACTAACAATCACTTAAAAAATTAATAAATAATTTATTATAATAATATAATAATAAATTTTGTTATTATATTATTATAACAAGTTATTTACTGTTTTTATTTAACGATTGGTAAATTATAATTTTATGTTTATTTTTACCTCAGGGGTCTATCAACCCCATACATTCAAAGAATTAACTTGTTTAATAAAATATAAAATGTCAATTTGGTTATAAAAAGTTTTAATGTGATTTTAAGTTCTAACAAGGAATTGAAAAGATTATGAATTACATGTAGGTTTAATAATTATTTTTCTAATTATTGTAATTTTGAATACTTCTTAGATAATTTTAATATAATTAGATTTATAAAGAAACATCTACTGGTAAAATATATCCTCATTAGTTGTTATGTATAATTAAAATAATTAAAAAAAATAACTTTTGGTTCTCATATTTATTTTTATTTTTATTTAAGATAATTTTTTTATTATAACACTTGTGTTAACATTAAAAAACTATAAATAAATTAATTTTGTTAAGAAGAAAACGTATCTATGAAAATACGGTTACAAAGTATTTAATCTTTTACCTTTAAATTTTTTTATAAATAATATTCTTTTACAAAAGTTTAAAAAGATATACATAATATATATTATGAAGACAAAGAAAAGGAAATGTGGATTAAAAAAAACATTATCTCTCTTCATCTTTAAGTGTAAATTATTTTTTCATTCATCACATTTTATATATTTTTTATTATCATAATTTTTTTATATGTATTTTCACTTTTTTTTCATGTATTATATATAAAAATTTTCTTTCCGATAAAAAAATTATGAAAATAGAAATGTTTTTAATAATATATAATTTAGTATTTATATTATATTTTAATAATAATATTTAATAATTTATCTACAACGAAAAATTAGTGTAAAACACCGAGGTTATTTATAAAGTTTATTTTTACTAAAAATTAATTTTGCAAATTAATAAAAAAATGAATTTTTCTCATAAAATTATAACAGAATTTTATTAAATCATAAGTTTAAAATATCAATACATAAACTTGAGGATTACCATTTTGTTCTTATTAAGCAACTTCATGTCATGTTGAACCATATGCTGCTCGAACTAATAAACGTTAGAATCTAAGAATTCGATTCTATGTGATGTGATACATAACAACAAGAAAAATAACATAACCTAATTTAACTTTGTTACTAAACCAAAAATTAAAATAAATCATCTTAATATCATTATGATATTGTTCATTTTAAAACTTTTGTTTATTGAAATTTTATCTTTTAAAAATGTCTCAATTGATTGAAAAATGAAAATATATAAATAATTAATAAATTATTCTTTACTGTCAGATAAAAATAATTTAATTATTAATAAAAGTAAATTAATAATCACACAACTTGTCACTGAAGATTAATCGTAAACTTTTTTTATTATGTAATTTTCAAAATCAAACACATTATAACTCGTTGTTGCCGTGATATTAATTGGTTAAAGGAAGTAGAAGTTGATAATTATTGGACTGTAAAATTATAGTGTGGGACAAAAACAACGAGAATAAATTGTTTTCCCAAAATTGAAAAAAAAATCCTTTACACAATTTTTTGGTAAACTTCTAAAGTGAAATTCCAACAACACACTAACATATATAATGTATTTTAAGTTAAATAATAGGAATTTTTATGATACTTAAAATAAAATAAATTTATAGAGATCGAATTACTCCCTAATTTCAATAATGTTATCTGAATGTTAATATTTTTATCTCTGCATATTCTGAACTTATACAATTAGGTCCTATAATTAAAAGTAAATATTATTTTTATTTTTTTTTAATAAATAAAGTGACATCCATTTATTTTATATTTGTAATAATTATTTTATTCAATGTGTTTTCATAACTAATTGTAAATTTATTCGGTCTTATTTTAAAAATTTTCATTTGATTAAAGAATAAAAATAATATAAATTATCTTTAACCTCTATTCTAAAAATGTGTGATTTATATACGAGAATATTAAGTAATGCGAAAGTATTAGATACATATAAAATGGGATTTACGTTTTTCACATGAATTTATTCTGTATAAAAATATTTTTACTAAAACATAAATAATAGTTAAAGAACAGAAATAGAAATGATATATTTGTTAACGAATGTTAATATTTAAAGTAGAAGAGTGAAGAGAAATAAATTGCATAGGGTTTTTGGCTTTAAAGTTGTAGTCACGTTATTATGCAGTGATGTTGTATGAAATAGAAACAGCCAAAGATGGCTTTGTACGAAGACACAACTTTGTTGGTTGTACACTGAAAACATTCACCAATCAAATGCCGTGTGTGGCCCACTCTGTCTGATCCTGGAGCCACCCTCTCTATTCATCACCAAAAACTGTATTGGTTGATGCAGGATTTGCATAAAATATAACATGCATCTATGCTGTTTGATAAATGTTCACCAACAAGTTTTAGCATAATAAATGGTTAACTAAATAAGTTGTCTAAAAGTACTCATGTATATTTGATTCTTTGAATGTTTTTCTATTACAAAAAATCAAACCCACTTTAATTTGCAAACTAGATAACCTTATGGATGTGTGTATCTTATTATTGACAAGTGTGTGGTTGAAGCTTGAGGTGAGTCCATTACTTTTAAGCCATGTGATGAGGGTTTTGTGGGTTGGATTTTGAGTCTAGCACCATTTCTTTCTATCTTATAAATTATATCAAAAATTGATGCGAAGATTCTTTTTCATTTGAGCTAGCTTTGAGTGTGGTTGAGCACATGCTACTTCTATCTCTAGACATGATCTTCTTCTTTAAGCAACTCCATCTACGTTTATGTAATGGTCTATTATTTGGCGTGAGGGTAAAGCATATGCGGGAGGACCATTTAATTCGTCACTTTAGATTATAATAAGAAAACAAATACAAGCACATGGAATTGCTCTCGAAGCCATTGAAAAGATAAGCTTGAAGCTTCTTCTTTATTTTGGAATGGATTTTCTAAAATGTATTTTTTACATTTTGAAAAATCCAATTTTGTAATAAATACACTTTGAAAAGTTTGTTTCAAAAGGAGTGAGAGATGGTCCAAGAAACATATTTGGGGTTCAGAAAGAAATATTCTCACTCTCACATAATTGGAGTTTTCTTTCAATTTCATCATTTTGAGTTCCACATGGACTTCACTAGTTACAATTTTTGTTTGGGTTGCCTTTATAAAGTCTTAACAAAAACAGTCGTACAAAATATTAGAGTATGTATGTGGGCTGTTGTTTATTGCATCTCAAAATTTCTTCTTCCACCCCATTATTGATAATTCAAAAAAATAAGTTTGAATTCTGGATTGATAAATAAATAAAGTTCAAATTGATTGATTCGTAATATTAATATTTTATTTTAAATTTTGGATTAAGCAATCGATGATATAAAAAAAAATACATTCTTATGTTTTCAAATCGATCAAATTCCGAATAAAAAAAACTATCAAATTGAATTAACAATATTTTTGGGTTCTAAATTATAATTTTTATATGGAAAAAAAAATTCTAACACTGAGAAAGTAAGAATATAAGTCAGACACGAAAAAGAAAAAGAAAACCCTAATTTTAATATTCATTTTTGTACTATTTTTGGTGGATGAGTCAAATCAGGATTTGTCATCACCTTCAGCTATCCTTGTTCAAATCACCCAACATCTGGGTGGTGTATAAACTGTGGATAGAATGAGACGTTCCAAACAATTTGACACGTGTCCCTTGTTCTCACTTTCCCCATGCTCTAGAACTGCACCAACACTGGGAAAAAAACACAATCCCTACTATCATTTTATTAATCTCAAAACAAGAGGGTAAAGTAAACAACAAAGAAATCTAATTGAGTGAGTCTATTAGGAAAAGAAAGGCCTCAAAAATTATGTTTAATTCAAATCAAAAGCATTCTCACCATCATAACCACACATATGATAAAGTATACGTGGATATTCTAGTTGCTTCTCATCAACTCTTGAAGATGTTAGTGCCATTGGACCATACCTCAATAAACTCTTCCTCCTACCTTGGTTTAAATCACACTCTGCAAATATATATTTATGATCATATAGTGAAAGGGTAGCTATAGATTTTCGTTATACTAAAGCAATGGCTCAAACCATGTTGCTGATGTCTAGTGTTCCTGCTAGCTATGCCATTGATCTGAAGAGAGACACTATGATCCAACTACAGAACCAAATATCAAAGCCTAAGTTCTCTCAATATATCTTCTTCAATCCACTACCTTCATCTCCTACATTTACAACCTTTGCCCTCTACAAAACTAAGACCAAGGCCCCTCTCAGCAAGGTATACTCATTTCACAATATTTTTTATCAGAAAATATAATTTTCCCATTGATCTTTTTTCAACACTCTAATTTGGTGGCAAGTGATGTGTGTAGGTTGTGAAGTCCAATCCAAAGCCGAAGGTTGAAGATGGTGTTTTTGGCACTTCTGGAGGGTTTGGTTTCACTAAGCAGAATGAACTATTTGTTGGTCGTGTTGCTATGCTTGGTTTTGCTGTGAGTCATACTTATAGTTAAAGTAATTAACAATTTTAAACAATCTAATTTTGTGTTTTTCAAATAAATCTTGTTTCATTACAAAACATTTTTGTTTTCTTGGACCAGTTGTCTAATATTCGTGTATGTGCATGTTCTAAACATAATTTGAAAGTAGAATTCAAGTTTAATTGGTTTTCTAAGTGGCAGAACCAGAAAGCTTATCTTTGATTATTTAATGACGTATGACTGAGATGAAATCAGATAAAAACGTTACAATTTAATGAAGTGACCTAAGATCAATATAAGTTAGTCTCTACACGTTACAATTTAATATCAAATTACTCCTTACACTTTATGACTTAATATCAATTTAATTTTTGAAAAATATAGTGCTATACATTAATCTTTCGTATTTCAATAATTAAAATAATTTTATTATTTTAAAAATTAATTTATCATTAATTTATACATTAGAGAGCTAACATAATGATTTAACCATTTTGACTATGAAATAAAAATCAATCTATTTCACACATCAGAATTAAAAAAACCTTGAAATGAAGAAAAAGTATTGAGGTTTGTTTATTTCTTATTTTTCAAAAATTATTTTCAATTTTTTTAACTTTAAAAAATTAAAATTAATTTGTTAACTATTTTGTTAAATTTTCTTTTTAAATTTTAAAAAAACTGAAAAATAAAAAACGGATAAAATATTATTTGTTTGGTTTAATCTTTCTTGCTAGTTTCCAAACACAGTATAAAAGATCAATTTTTAAAAACTATATTTAAAAATAAAATGAAAAAAAAACTTGTTGATAACATTAACTTGCTCTTTTAAATGAAAGATACATGGCAACAAAAAGTTACAACTAAAATAAAAATAAAAATTGAGATGTAAATTTAATAATGAATATCAGTAATATAACGTAATTATTGATAAGTGGATAAATATTATTAATAAAATAAAATATATTTTATTAGTTCTAATTTTTTTTAGTTTTTAACAACTAAAATATTATTTTTAAAGATATCTTTTGAAGGATTTGTTTTAATAAAATTGTGATATTAAATAAATCAACTCCCTATTTTTTTATTTTTATTAATTATATCTGTATTTTTATTAGTGATTAGTGTATTACATTATTATAAACTTGTCGAAATCATATTTAAACTTCTTCGGTGATTTTTTTGTGATGGTTGATATAATTTTCTTATTAAAAATAAAAATTATTTTTATACTAAAAAATATTAAATAAAAAAATATTAAATAAAAAAATATAATTATTTAAGTATTATTAATTTTCTTAAGCTGTATAATTAATTACTATAAAAAAGAACTTGAATATTTGTCACGTAATTATTTATCATACCTATGAGTCTCAACTAATCAGTAATTATTTTGTAAGTTAAAGTAAATGAAAAGAATGAAATATATTAACCTAACTCATTTGAGTTTGCAGGCATCACTGTTGGGTGAAGCAATTACTGGGAAAGGAATCCTTGCTCAACTCAATCTGGAAACTGGAATTCCCATTTATGAAGCAGAGCCTCTTCTCCTTTTCTTCATTCTTTTCACACTTCTTGGAGCCATTGGAGCATTGGGGGACCGTGGCAAATTTGTTGATGACCCTCCCACTGGACTCGATAGGGCGTTCATTCCCCCAGGCAAAGGCTTCAGAGCAGCTCTCGGCCTCAGTGAAGGGGGTAAGCCACATTTCTAACCTCTTTTTTTTTTTTTATCTAGGGTTTCATGCATATAAAGTCACTATGATTGTGATGAGTAGTTTGGTGTGTTTATTTTGTGGGTGTTAATCAGGTCCTTTATTTGGGTTTACCAAAGCAAACGAGCTCTTTGTTGGAAGATTGGCCCAGTTAGGTTTTGCTTTCTCTTTGATTGGCGAAATTATCACTGGAAAAGGAGCTCTGGCTCAGCTCAACATTGAGACAGGGGTGCCCATTAATGAAATCGAACCACTAGTGTTGTTCAGTGTCGTGTTCTTCTTTTTTGCTGCTTTGAATCCAGGAACTGGTCGTTTTGTTACAGACGAGGATGGGGAAGATTAGACATTATAACATCTGTGTTGAATTCAAGAAAACTTCATCTTATACGAGGTTTATGTCTATAATATTAGTGCAACGAGTTCCTTCCTTTTATGCATAGACGCATAAAGTTTTAAAAATTAAATCAAATTAACATGTTTTTCATATGTCTATACTATTTTGAATTTTTACGTTTTAGTTTGTAAAGAAATTTTTTATCTTTGAATATTATTTATCTGTTAACAGTTTTTGTCATTCTTATCGAATATTAACATTCACTTATGGTGACGATCACGTGGTGGTTTAATTATTTGTCATATCATCAAGTAATAAGATAAATAATTTGTTTATGATAAATTGGTATTTTCTTTTCTTTTATGTTATATTAGAAGTCTTCTATAAATTGTTTCATATTATATGATTTAAATACGAATTATTCCTATGCACACGAATCCTACTTGTTTATACAGAGTCTTATAATATGAAGTTATTTTATTATATACTTGAATGGTTAATTACTTGCGTCCTGAAGATGAATGGTTCCTTTATTAGATGATGGTAATCTCATAGAAGAGTGACAGATGTATACCATAGACACATGACCTCCATTGAATGGGGCGTTTACGCAATGTGTTTTATAATTCTGCAATGTTTAAATCAAGCATGTGGTGTATGCTAAGTCAAATCTATTTGTGCCTCGGTTTCCTCCTCCACCATATGCGCCACTTCATCCTCACCTTCCACGTTGTCATCGTGTATATAATATGATAATAGATGGCTCCATTAATCCCATATAAAGTTGTCATTTTTATTATATTTATATTAATTTTTGTTTGATATTTTTGAAAAGAGAGTTAATTTTTTTATTTTTTATAAATGATTACAAATCAAAACATTGAATATAATAATACATTCTATCCAAAATCTTAGTTAACATTTTTTGTTTCTTTTCAATGAAAATTTTCAAACTCACACTTAAATGCGATCTGAATCGTGATAATACTACGCAGTTAAGAACACGGGGAAGGATATATTTATGTAGATTTACACCATACAGAAACAATGGCTCAAACCATGTTGCTCGTGTCCTGTGTCCCTGCTAGCTATTCTGTATATCAGAAGAGAAACTCTTTGCTTCAACTGCAGAATCGAGAATTAAGACCCAAATTCTCTTGTCTCTTTTTCAATCCACTACTTTCAGCTTCTCATGCATTTTCTTCTTCACCTCGTACATTCACAACTTTGGCCCTCTTCAAAACAAAGACCAAAGCCCCTCCCAACAACAAGGTACTCTGTCAAACAATTTTTCATTACAATAAATTCTTTCCTCAACATTCTGCATGTGGTGCCACTTGATCTACATAGTTGGTGAAGTCCAAGCCAAAACTGAAGGTTGAAGATGGCATTTTTGGCCCTGGAGGGTTCGGCTGTACTAAGCAGAACGAACTCTTTGTTGGTCGAGTTACCATGCTTGGTGTTGCAGTGAGTCAAAGTTTACTTCCTTTGCTAATTTAACTCCATTGCCATGTTTTCTTATTTTCGACAGTTCAATTTGCTTCATCACACACACACACACACTCACGAAGCTTATGTTTGAATATTTAATGATGTTTGGGACCAGAAACGAGAAGAGAATACTCTATTGGTTGAATATTTACATGAAATGAAGAAGAGTTGATTCATTTGACATTCCCAAATTAGAGTAAATAAAAATGAAGGTATTCAATGGAATGCAAAAGGGTCACAATTTAAGTGTTGGTTGGTTGGTTGCTTTTGCAGGCATCATTGTCGGGTGAAGAAGCAATTCATGAAACAGAGCCTCTTCTCCTTTTCTTCATCATTTTCAGTGTACTAGGAGCCATTGGAGTACTAAGTAACTGTGGTGAATTTCTTCATGACCCTGCCACACAACTGGATAAACCCCTCATTCCTCCAGGTACAAATTAACATATTTGTTAACGAATCTCTCTGAGTTCTTAGATGGGTTTAAAAAAATAAATCATATTTATATTTTACTAATAATTTTTATTAAGTTATAATTATTTTATTTATAGATAAACAAATATAAATTAAGAAACTTTTTTTACTATTATACTGTGAAATGTTTTTTAACATTACAAAGTAAAAATAGAAATAAGAACTTAACTAGATTAAATTTTATTTAAAATGATGCAAAAACAAAAATTATGTAATTACCACGTCATGGAAATTACATTATTAAAATAATAGTTAATTGAACCAGAAGTTTATAGTCTTCTACATGAACATTTTTATGTTTTTGAGTTGACTTTTTATTGTTTTCTCCGTCAAAGATAAACTTATTTAATTAATTTGAGTGAAATAATTCAATATTCTATATATAAAATTAAATGTTATTTATTATTTTTTTATTAAGAACAACGAATCTTTTAGATTACAGTTAAAAAAATATTCTCAGTTTACAATTTGAAGATTAAAGTAATTTAGAAATTATAATTATTTATTTTATAAAATCAAGAAAATTAAATATATTTATACTACAATAATATTCTTAATAAATGGGAAATTAGGTATAATAGAAACTAGCAAATTGGCTGAAAAGATTTTAGGTTTTCAAAATTTGTTTTGTATTCTGTTTCTCCCAGGATGCCAGAAGAAAAGCAAAGTTGACAAGTTGTTGATGTGGTGGTGGACCTTCTCAGGCCTCACAAACATGATTATTGAGGGTTATTTTGTTTTCTCACCAGAGCTTTTCAAGGATAAGACTGGCTTCTTCCTAGCTGAAATTTGTGAGTGTCTTTGGCATGAACACATGTGTAGCAGATTTTCTTGGAATTTATAGTTTCAAGAATGTGTTCTTGGTACTCTTAGTCTGAAGATTTTAAGTTGATGAAAGATTTTTGGTGAACAAATAACAGGGAAGGAATACAGTAAAGCAGATTCAAGGTATGCAGGAAGGGATGCAGGGGTGGTTACTATTGAAGCAGTAACAGCTGTTTTGGAGGGTCCAGCTAGTATTTTAGCAGTGTAAGTTGAATGTTGAAAATAAAGAACAAAAGACATGACATGACCAAAGATCTTTGACCTAAAGGGTTTGATTTGTGAATGTGGATGACAGATATTCAATAGCTGCTGGGAAATCATATAGCTACATACTTCAGTTTGCCATTTCTTTGGGCCAGTTGTATGGAATTGCTGTTTATTTCATAACAGCATTCTTAGAAGGTGATGACTTTTCTGCAAGTTCATTTTACTATTATGCATACTATATTGGAGCAAATGCCTCATGGATTATTCTACCGTCTATCGTTGTCATTCGCTGCTGGAGAAAGATTTGTGCAGCATTTAAGGTTTAAGGTGGTCAAACAAAAGTTATTTGATGCCGAGAATGCGGTGGTTTAGACAGGATTCAATTCTTATATGTTATAATAATATCATTATTTGCTTTCAAATTTACTTCATCCTACAGTTTTTATAAATTATCTTTAACCTTAGACACATGAATAATTTTTAATCTTGAAAAATATAAAATAGGACTTTATGAATTTCATATAATTTTTAAGCATTAATTTTACTTAATCAAACTTTTTTTTAAATTAAAAAAATTATTCTCTTTACTTATTTAGTTTGATTTACTTATTTCTATTTTCCGCGGATATGTTCAATTATACAGAAAAAAATGTATGAATAATTTAAAATGGGCTAATTTTAGATTCAATCAATTGATTTAAAAGTAAAAAAATAGTTAGGAATAATTTTTTAAAAACACAATTTAACAATTTAATTTGTTACTCCATTCGTTTGTTTCTATGTTTTGGTAGATAAATTGGGAAATAATAGACCCTCCCACCTTTTCTTTTTTAACTAAACAAATATTTCTCTAAATTTGAAAAAAAAATGATAGATTGATTTATATTTTGATTTATTTTTGGTTTTGTGGACGACTTGAGATATTAAAACCGTTGTTTAGACTGTTTTGATTTTTGTTTTTAATATTTTTATTTGGTTGACATTAAGTTATTGGTAGAGAAATATCTATAAATATTAAAAAAAAATCCGTTTTTTTAACTTAGTAACGAAAAATAGTTATTAGAATTTTATATTTTTGTGTGTGGTTAGATTTTTTACCGTTCTTAAGGTAGAAACATTTTCTTTTGTTTCTTTTGCAATAAAATATTTGTTTTTAACCGTTGTAATGAGTCCTAACCTAAAGCCATTTACAAGACCAGTACATTAGTAACAGAATCTTTGTTTACCCCACGCGCATTAGAAAAAAATAAATCCACAGTAATAAATAAATAGTAATCACAACCCCAATATTAAAAAGTAATAATAATAAAAATAAGAAAATAAAAATGCAAAACCCACTTCCGTCCACTTAAGCTTCATCTCTCATCATCGTCTCCATCATAATTACCATCATCATCATCATCTCCATCGTTATTATCTTCCTCTTCTTCCACTCTCTCCCACAAAATTGTGTCCCATCGATCGCGCTCTGGTTGATTCGGTCAATCTCGCGCTCCGAATCCTCCGGAACACGCTGTTCGCCAAACGCAACCCAGTTTCCCCACAATTCGCTTCTCTTTCTATCGTCCCTCGCAGCCACGGTGGCTCTTCCGCATTCCGCCACCCCGCTGCTACCGGAAAACCGTAACAGGTGATGGATGACTCCATGTTCAAACGGGACGGTCACTTTAACCGAACTTACTCCTACCAATCTTGCTCTTCTCAAAGAGATGTCCGTTACAGGTTCGCTTTCTCACTCATCGTCATCGCGCTTTCCTAAATTCGTAAATTCTCTTTTTAGGTTAAATTTTTCTTTTTGGTAAATCGCAATCGAATTGTTTGGGAAATAATTCTGCGCCGTCGATCGTGGTAAATATTCTCTCTCTCTCTCTATATGTTTTAATTTATAGAATTTCATTGTTAATTTTTAACCCATGTAGTGTGATTATAAAATTAGATTGATTTTTAAGGGATTTTTTTTTCTTTAATTTCAAGAGGGAATTCAGATTGGTCATAGAGGATTAAATTTTGTACTCTCAGTCACTTTCACGAGTACGAATTACTTGATCATTGTGGAGAGATTGAAAGTTACTCAGTCCTTTTCCCTTTTACAAGAAAAGAGACGTTTCCGTTTTTCTTTCTTTTTAAGAAAAGTTTTAAAAACGGACTGTAACCGCAAGGTTTGGGGCTTCTGGGATCGTAATTCCAGTTACATATGGTGCAATTATCTATAAGCATTTTATAATATTAAGGATTGTGACGATACTGAAACTACAATATAAAATCTGGATTGTTAGATTTTCTGCATCTACTGAGAAAATCGACTTGAATAATAGTGTTCATGACATGTTACTCTTGAAAGTGGTCGGAATTATAGTTGTTTGCTTGTGTCTCATTAATCAAGTTTTGCTGTCTGGAGACTTGAGGACTGTATTGGAATGTTGGAGTATAACCTTTTTTTTTGAGCTATAACCCAATATGTTAAGAGTTTAACATTGTATTTAATTGAAATGGATGATCTACTTTACATGGGAAAGGAATGGGTTGCTTGCTCTCAATCTCATTGCTTTAAATAATAATTATTCAGTAGCTTCTATAAAGTTATGCAAGTAATGGATAAAATTGAACACTTTCAGATAGGCTAAAAAAAAAAAAAGAAGATAAAAAGGGTAGGTGAAGTTTGCCTTAGATCATGTAACATATGCTTGATTCCTCTTTTAACAAGTTCTTTTATATGGAAAAAAACCTTGTAAGGAGAGTTAACTTTATGATGATGTGGATTTTCCTAACACAAACAAGATTGGTTCCTGTGCAGAATACTATGGTCTAGACAAAAAAAAGATGAAGTTTTGAATGATGGAAAACGATTGCAATGTAATTTTTCGTGGAATATATGTTTATTTAAATTATGATGATATTGTCACGTATAGAGAACCCTGAGCGACGGAACACCTTTTAAATAGAAAAGGATTTAGTTAGCTTCCACTTTTGTAAGTTCTAAACTTTTTTGGACATTTCTTAAATTTGTGCCTGTTTAATGATTTAGATGGCATGGGAATTAAGTGCTGTAGTTTTAGCTTGCAAAATATTGGAAGACAATAGTTCCAATCCCTTTCCCTTTAGTTGTAAGCAAGTTGTCGTCTTATCAAATGCACATCTGTATATTTTTTACATGATAAGTTGTGATGATAATCTTGTCTTCTTCAAAATGCATTATTAACCTGGTCATTATAATTGTTTAACTCACTAGATTGAAGACTAAGCTTATGATATTGGGTATGATTTACATGTGATGAATCTGGGTTCTTTATTTTTATTGTTGCAATTACAACACCTTTTCTTTAATTTGGCAGCTGTGGTACTTGTGGTTATGAATTGAATCTATCATCATCAAACCGGAATACCTCATCCATCGGATCAAAATATGGAAAGTCCATAAAGCGAGGTATCATATCATTCTTCCATATTGATCTCAGCAGATTTACGCAGGTTGATGAAATTCAGTGTGTGCCCCATTTTGATAAGCACTCATGGGGTTTGTTTCGCCGAAGAACCAACCTTCTTTGTCGCAAGTGTGGGAACCATATTGGAAATGCATACAATGGTTACACTACATCCTTCCCTCTTGTGTCAAACAGAGCAGAATCGTCTCCTAGCTCCAAAGTGGTCAATCATACAAAATATGACATTCGCATTCGTGCCTTGCAGCCTTCATCTTCTGAAGGATCTGGAACCCCTGTGTTTGCTTGAAATACCTGGTAACAAAGCAGTATTTCCTACACAGTCAACTCCGGTGAAAGGGAGGTTAGAAGTTCATCAAAATGTGGGATTTTCCTGATGAAAATGGGACCATAGCCTTCTGGAACAGTTGTGAAGTTCATTCACTACTAAACTGTCAAAACTTCCAAGGTAAAATATTATATTACTGGGAAGAAAAACAGAATCTAAGAGGAAAAGAAAAGTGAAAGTTAATTTTACATGAATTGTTTGGTTAGTAGTGTGGTCGAAGGATGCTTCTTTTCATCCACATTTGCATTTTGTAATATTGACTTAATTGACAATAAATATTGGTTAGTTATGAATGTTGACAGCATGCAAGTTTTTAGATTGGGCAAACAATGAATGGGAAACAAATGTTAAGTGTCAACATATATTTGCTTGAGGGACAAGATTCACAGACAAATTAGTAGAGGAACAACTTTCTTTTGCGGATATTTTGTTCGCAGGTATAGCTTGAGTTTTTGGTTTTTCTTTTTGTTTCATGGGAAAAAGAAGTGGCAGGGTGGGGTTCTTTTGAAAGAGTGCTGATATACAGACAACCAGCGTATAAAAAACATGCATTAGCCAACCATAATGTTTCATTTTGACATGACTGAACCCTCGAATTTGTCTCTGATAATACAGTTTTAATAAAAAATTAAAATAATCTGACCTTATTCTTTAAGAATAACAAATGTCAGTCTTTCCTGCGATTAGAATGATTAACTTGACTTTATTGTGGTTACAGGTTGATACGGTCCTGTATTTTCCCTTTCTCAACTTCATTTGTAAATCAGTCTTAATGTTTTTTTCATAACAACTTGAACTCTTCAATCAATTTATCATTTGAAACATTATATTAAGTAATTTATTTGTAATTTTTTTATTAATTGACATAACATGATTGAACATCCAATTATGGACCTATGGTGCCACCTATATGCAAAAAAAGGAAAATTCAACAACAAAAAAATCATATCTATTCCTATAAGAAGAAATATGACGAAGTCACGTTAACCTTATATTATGTAATCATCACGTTACATAATCAAAATAAATAGTTAATAGTAAAATTATATTTAAGTGATAAAACATATCATCTTATATTAATAGCTTGTTCAATAACTAATATGAATTAAACTTCATAAAACATTATTATTATTGTTTTCCACGATTTCCATGAATAACAACAGGACAATAGAAATTTATAAAAGAGTGTCAAAATATTTTAAAATCTTCTATATAATTAAATATACGACCTTAAAGAAAATAAGTAAATTACACAATAATAAAATTAATCATAACAAATAATTGAGCAAAGGAAACACACTTATTATCGAACAAAACTTACATTGTTATGTAAAAATCATAAAACTCAAAGATTTTAACTAAAATAAGAATATCCACATCACATACTGAAGTCATCTTAAATGAGTGAAAGAAAAAACGAAGCCAAATTACAACTACAGATAACAACATATATTTTTATTAATGAAAATATATTTAAAATTTTGAAGTTGGATAGAAAACAATTAAAACAATTAAAGCTCAAAATTTATATTTCTAATAAATTTTAATTAATAAAAATAGTAAAAATTGTGTTATCATCATTTCTTTCTTTTCTATTTGGTCATAAAGCAGCCAAGAATGGACCAAGCGTTCTGAAAATCATTCAAAACTCAGAAAGAAACAAGAACAGAAGAAATAGAAACATAAGTCGAGGCAAACAATGTGATGAAAAAATGGGAAAAAGATTTATTTTATAGAGTTATAGGAATTCGTGAAGGCAGGCGGATCTTAATCATTGCCACCGAGGGAGGGAAATAATATATTATTAATAAATAATAAATAAATATAAAAAAAGATAAATATAAAAAAAATGAAAAGATGAAAGAATAAAATTGTAGATATATATTTAAATATATTAAATAATTATTAAGTATGAAGAAAATAAAATCATAAATTATACTGAGAGTTACTAAACTAAGGAAAGATTGAGAGGATAAAATTGTAAATATACTAAGTAAATATATTAAATTTTCATAAAGTGATGAGGGTCAAAATCATAAATTACATAAGAATTATAAAATTTTAGAACGCCACGGCCCCGACTCCCAACAAGATCCGCCACTGCGTAAAGGTATATTTAATTCTATCAGAAAGGTCTAGTTTTACACATAAAAACCACTAAGATGCTTTCTTATTTCTACTTTGTGCTCTGCCAACTTATTAATATTCTCTCAAATGGAGTTTTCTATCCATATAGTGCCAAACCCTGCGTTTGCAACCAAAGAATGTGGTTTCCCTGCAATCTTCAATTCTGGTGGCCTGCTTCCATGTTTGCACCAACAAATGGGGACATCTATTTTCACAGACCTGCAGGAATAGTCGTCTCATTATTGATTCCTAGGTAACCAAGCTTACATATGAAGTGTGTACATAGTTTTATCATCATCTTTCATTCAAATTTAAGTTGGTGCTTATATATTTCATTTGATACTATGTTAAAAACTTCATTTTGAATTAATTAATTAATTTTATACAACTTCTTATATAAGTCAGTAGTTTTATAGTTATATTGACGTTTACTTCAAAATAAAAACATTTGTGTTGTGAAGCATTGGTTTTTGGATATTCCCAATTAAGTTTGAGTCCAAATATTATGCAACATGTGCATGAATTTAATATTTGTCAATTTATAACACCAAACAAAGTTTTCAAATGCCAAGTTTAGGATTTAGATAAGATGGTTAATTGTATTTTGGGTTGATTGGTTCTCACACTCTAGAGTTAATAAATCTGTTAAGAGGAAGAAACCCTTGAAAGTTGTCATGCAAAAGTAAGTTTTGGTTAATATATGGCTTGGTTGGTTGGATGGATGAACCGAAACAAATAACTCTGTCACGAAGCTTGTTGTCAGGTTCATGCAGGTGGAAGAAATTAGATTTTTATTTTATTTTTATTAACTTCTGAAACTCTTGAAATTGATTTTCTAGTAATTCATTGTACTACCTTGTTCAAAGAATCTTTTCATTCTTGTGCAGATAAACATTATCTAAGTTAATTCATCTCTTCTAAATCTATTGAGGCGATGAATGATGGATTTTGATGCTTGAAACTATCAGGCCCACCATGATAATCATGACCAAACTGGCCAACCTCATAAACTTTCTCCTTATTTTTCTCACCAACCGTGTCCACCCAGCAACGAGATCTAATAACATCATCTTGTGCCAAGTCTATCTATGTAGACCTAGCTTCCCTAACAACGGATGCAACATATGAACTAACTTGTGAAAGTGTAGTTTTAAATTCTTCTTATAAATACAATGAAAGAAATTATTGATATCATTAGCTGTACAAATCATAAAATACAAATAAAATAACTACATAATAGAAAGAATACCTCAATTAATCAACAGAAGAGATGGTACAATTTCGATCTCACGGGTTGGGTTCAACCTCACCACAATTAGGATTGAGTTTGACCTCAAAAATTTGGCAGTGATTGACGCGATGATGGACGGGTTCAACTTCTCACGGGTCAAAACTACGATTCAATTTGGCTCCATTCAATGTAGTGATTTAGGGTTTGAGGTCTTTAGGGTCATGGTTGTTTGGGTTCAAGCTCGCGATGTTAATGGTGAAGGCCGAAATCAATCTCTTAACAATAAGAACGAGGTTTGAGATTATGCTCTTCAGGTTAGACTTAGGGTTCCACCTCACAAGGGTGAGACTAATTTAGGTTTGGAAAAATGGTGATGTGGGACGGTTCGAGCTTGAATGTGTATTGACTTAGGTTTCACAACTTTTAGGTTTTAAAAGATACAAATGAAGTGTGTGAAAAATAAGTGATATTAAAACAAAGAATTTACTGACGAATAAAAAATAATTACTGACCGACTATTTAATAAAATTAATAAATTCATATTTTTTACTATTTTTATCGACTAAATATTTAATAGATATATTTATCCATATACAATATAGTTTTACTAACAGAATTCTTCGATAATGTCAATTTCACAGACAATCACAAATCTGTCTATAATAATCCGTCAATAATAAAATATTTTGAATGGACGAAAATTTGTCAATAAATAATAAATTTATTTGGTGTTTGTAATTACTGAATCGTGAAACAACCTCTCTTTTTCTAGTGTTTTTAGTATACCGAAAAGGTGGAAAAAATATATAAAAATATTCTTTAATATTTAAGTCAACGTGAGAATGAATTATTGAATATAGAATTGTACCTAATAAAAAAATTATAAAATCATTTATAAATTAAGAGTGTAATCCTCGAAAATTAAAAAATATTTTATTTTTATTTTATCAAATATATATTAAATGTTTTAAATAATTTTAAATATTCCGGTTAATTTCGAAATATCAATACTATCTATGGGATTGGTAAAATATTTATTTATTTTCTCTAGTAGTATTTGTGAAGAGTTCCACTAACCATTGTTTCACACCTAAACTCCCAGCGATCAATCTATCAACATTATTTCTTAATCTCTTCCCGAGTGCAGAAAGAAAAACATGATTTGATGAGCAAAAAGTACACAATTTCATGTTTGAATTAAGTGGCTCTTTACATATTTTAAATTATATAACGTCACAAATTGAAAAAAAAAGTAGTCGTGCATTGAAAGTGTTATGTTATTTTAGACCCTGAAACCACCTTGTAGATAACCCATTTCATTTTTTTTCATTGTTTAGAATCTGCTTTGTACGAGAGGAAAAGTACAAATACACGAAAATTATGTTTGTTTGTTTTTTTTTCTGAATGAATTTAACGTCAAACATGAAAACATCTTGGTCATTTCACTTCCTATAATGTTTTTCTCTGCCCGTTTGTTGATTTTGGATACAACTTATGGTCCAAATACAAAAATAAAAGTGAAAAAGTTGGAACTTCGAAAAGTCATAACATCACATTACTTTTGAATCAAAGTAAAGGATGTATATTTTGGAAAGAAGAGGCAAAAGATGTGGAAAATTATGCGACAACGTGGCTATAATTGGTTCAATTGAAATGGTAACATCTATCATCAATCATATCTTGCTCTTTGAAACACAAAATTTGGAAAATATTAAATCCTTGGATCACTCAGAAGTTGGGAATAATGTTAATCTTTTAAATTCTAAAAGTTATTCGTCAATATATGTTTCTTATATGGATTATTTAATCTTAACTTTTATTATAACATTTATATTAAAAAAATACTTAAAGTGAAGATATTTTGTAAAACTTAGAAAGGGTCAAGAGATTCACAAAAGTTAAATAACAATAATATTTAATTGATACAAATTTTGAAACGATGTATAAGATTACGAAATTTACCCTTCATCAATACATGATACTATTAAAGGTTATCAATATCATTTCACAAATTGAAAAGAAAGAAAATATAAAATAAGGCAATTATAATATAAGAAAATATGAAAGAAACACTAATAAGACAAATTTTAGATATAGATTAAAGTACTTTTCTTTTTACTAATTTCTAATTAAAATTTAAGTTTCACTTATAATAATACAATGCATTTTAGTAAGGGTTCAATTTTAAATGAATACAATATAAAAAATTGTAATTAACTTTTCTCATATTGATATTGATTTTTTTATTACTGTAACAAAGTATTGCTATTGTTAATGATTTAGCAATCTAGAATATGAAATTTTCCTTCAATAGACGGCAACAACTTGGTCTTCCAAAGAAGTTTAGCTTTAAATTTTGAAGTCTCCATTGCACTTTGCCGACTCAATCTCCTCCTCCTCCTCCATGGAATTTCCTAACTCTGCCAAGTTTCAAATCCAACATGCGCCACTTTTTGTGATTTTATCCATTGCTGCTACCTTGGCACCAAACCCAGTATTTGCAACCAAAGAATGTGCTTTTCCTGCAATCTTCAACTTTGGTGACTCAAACTCAGATACAGGTGGCTTAGCTGCTTCCCTTATAGCACCAACACCACCATATGGAGACACCTATTTTCACAGACCTGCAGGAAGATTCTCTGATGGTCGTCTCATAATTGATTTCATAGGTACCCAAAATATTGTTTTTCAGTTTCAGTTTAACTTAATTGTCTAAGAACCTTATGTTTGTGCATGGCTAAGTTACCGTAGTTTGCTTTTTGGTTGTACCAAATTAAGATTGAGTCTGTACCAATACCATATGCAGGGATTTTTTTTACTGACCAATTTAACACCAAGCAAAAGTTATCACATGCCAATTTTGATGTTTGATTTTGTAACCCAGCAAAGAGTTTTGGACTCCCTTATATAAGTGCATATCTTGATTCTCTGGGCACCAACTTCTCACATGGTGCAAACTTTGCAACATCAGCATCAACAATAAGACTTCCACAGAGTATTATACCTCAGGGTGGATTCAGTCCCTTCTATCTTGGTGTTCAGTATACTCAATTCAGAGAGTTCAAGCGCAGAACACAACTCATTAGAAATCAAGGTAAAGGTAGAACTTGTAATAAGGGCATGTTTAGTTTGTTTTTGTTCTAATATATCTCAGCAGGTGGCATACTTGCAAGCCTGATGCCCAAACAAGATTATTTTCATAAAGCTTTGTACACATTTGATATCGGTCAAAATGATCTTGGTGCTGGCTTTTTTGGAAATTTAACTGTTCAACAAGTCAATGCTACTGTACCTGATATAGTCAATGCTTTCTCAGAAAATGTTAAGGTAGTTCAATACCTTTCTTGGACATTTTATTGTGTAGTATTAATTCATTATTCTAAGTTCATTCTTGTGGTGATGAAGGTCATATATGATCTGGGAGCAAGATCATTTTGGATACACAACACAGGACCCATTGGATGTCTTCCTTACATTTTGGCCAATTTCCTCTCAGCTGAAAGGGATCCGTATGGTTGTGCAAAGCTATATAATGAAGTAGCTCAGTATTTCAACCACAAATTGAAGGAAGCTGTGGTTCAACTTCGCAGAAATCTTACTCTGGCTGCAATCACATATGTTGATATATATTCTGTAAAGTACTCTCTTTTCAGCCACCCAAAGAAATATGGTGAGCCAAATTAAAGTGGTCCTATTTCCTGTTTTTTATGACAATATTTTGAGCCAAGTGCTTCATTGATGTGCATTGTTGCACAGGATTTGAGCTACCACTAGTTGCTTGTTGTGGCTATGGAGGGGAGTACAACTACAGTGGTAGTGTTGGATGTGGAGAAAGCATAGACGTTAATGGAATAGAAATTTTTGTGGGTTCATGTGAAAGGCAATCAGTTAGAGTGAACTGGGATGGGATCCATTACACAGAAGCAGCAAACAAATTCATCTCTGATCAAATTTCTACCGGAGCTTTCTCAGACCCACCCCTTCCTTTGAATATGGCATGTCACAAAAATTGTATAAAAAATTATTGAGCTTTAGAAGCTCATTTGTTCTTACGGTGATTGGTGGTTTATTTTATCTCTTCGGAGAAGAAGGGTATCTTCAAAAGATGATGGTCCATGTACCATAGCATGACCCATGTACACATGCTTCCCATCATAAGAGATAAAATATATTTTTATCAAAATAACAATCGACTAATCTTTTAATCTATTTTTTATTTGTAATTAATTAATATTTATTTTGAAAAATATTATTCTCCGATTATATATGTTTTTATTCTTATATTTTTAATTAGTTCTCAAATTAAAAAAAATGTTAATTTAATTTTTTTATCAATTTTATAATAATAATAATAAAATGTTATTGAATTAAACTTATATATATAAAGAAAAATTAAAATCATATTTAATTTTTTATTGTTTCAAGCTAAATTGTTTTTTCTAAATACTAAATTTAAGTTTAAAAAGATTAAAATAACATAAGATTAAATAAACACTAAAATTAAATTTCACAAAGATAAAAAAATGTTGAACCATATTATCTTTATATTATTTATGCAACAATTTTGTGTTAAGTATAAAGTGATATGTTCCTTGTCAAGTCTAAAAATTATGGTAATCATGTTTAAGTCTTTTTGTTTGTGAATTCTCTTGTTTAAGTCTAAAAATTAATTACATTTAATTTCATAAATTTCAGGATCAAAATCCTAATCTTTTTTAAATATAGAGAGTGAGTAAATTTAAGTAAATGTCTGTGAATTAAAAACACATTTTATATTTTATTATTATTATTATTATTTAAATTATTTAATTGTTATGATAATTAAATTAAACTATTAATAACTTTAAATATTTAATCAAACACAAGAGAAGATATTATATACATATTTCCTTACAAAATCATCTTTGTTGACGTTAATTATACAGCCAATGACTTGTCACATTATTATCAAGTTTGATGACATAATTATAAGTATTTTTTACTTTGATAAATTATGTTTTTAATCTCTCATTAGTTAGTTTAACATTATTAAATTGTTTAAATAGATGAAAGGATTAAAAAAACTTATTAAATAAAGCATAACATCACTATCTCATTTGTCTTTTTGATAATAGGATAAATAATTGATTTATCAACATCAATTTAACAATCTTATTCGAAAACAATGATATAAAGAAAAAGTAAATAAATTCGTTGACATATCAAAATTTTGTAATTACTTTAAAGGAGTTCCGTAACTTTTTTAAATGAGTTTTTAAAAAAAAAAAAAAACTGTTTCTTTTGAGTCTCTTTCAATCCATAACTATTTTATCAAATGACACAAAATTGATTTTTTTGCTCTATCTATAGCTATTTTTTGATTTTTTAAAACTTGTGAATATCCTCACTTATAACTCTCGAGTTATTTCCATCCATAATACCTAATTAATATAATTTTCTATGTTGTTTTTCATACGCAATTCCATTAATAGAACCTATATTAATGCATTTTGTTATTGTATTTTGTATTGAACCATATAAACATAGGACTCTTTATTTGACTGGTAGAGTTAAGAACGATAAGTGGGTTGATAAGTTTCTTGATTGTAATAACTCTATATTGGAGAGGTTTTTTTTTGGATAACGTGTATATTATATATTTGAGATGTCGTTCCTTTCTAATAAAATTTTCTTTTAGAATTTTTCTCCTGACACATTTATCGGACTCAATAATATCTTATTCTTTGTACTCTCTACACATTGGGTCCATTAAGTATCAATCAAGTTCATCTCCTCCAAATAGGTTTATTTTGACCTATTTTACTCATGCAGATTGGACCCGAACCCAACCGGACTCAATCTCTATGCACATACCACGACCTCCAAGTCTTAAATTAGAAAAATATTTCTAATGCAAAGGCTAAAAACATAAATAAACGTCGAATACACTTCATTCCTTAATATTTCATGATATAATTGCAAAATTTAACCACTTAAAGGGAATAAACAATCCTTAAAAATCATACTTACAGTGATTGTCGTCTTGATGTAAAGTGTGAAAATTACTTCGTGTGTACTTGAATTTAGACAAAGATTAACATGCTTAGGTCGCATTTCGACTATAGTGCGCATTTCGCACATTGCTCGCGTTCGAGTCTAGGTCACATTCGACCATAGTACGTATTTCGTACATAGTGTGGATTTCACACATTGCTTGGGTTTCGAGTCTAGGTTACATTCGACCATAGTACGGATTTCGTACATAGTGCGGATTTTGCACATTGCTCGGGTTTCGAGTCTAGGTCACATTCGACCATAGTATGGATTTCGTACATAGTGCGGATTTCGCACATTGCTTGGGTTTCGAGCTTAGGTCATATTCGACCATAGTACGGATTTCGTACATAGTGCGTAATTTCGCACATTGCTCGGGTTTCGGCGTAGTACGGATTTCGTACGTAATGCGGATTTCCCACATTGCTCGGTTTTCGATCATAGTACGAATTTCGTATGTAGTGCGGATTTCGCACATTGCTCAATTTTTTAGCGTAGTACGGATTTCACACATTGCTCTGGTTTTCAAGCGTAAGTCTCATTCGACCATAATATAAACATTTAAAGAATGTCTAAAGGGACCTTTTTATTGATATCGTTGCCTCGTTCAAAACCTTGAAAGAAAAACCTGATTGTTACGTAAAAAACTTTCAAGGAAAAGAGTACAACTCAAAGTCCAACATAGATATTAGAAACTAAAAAATTGAAATTGTATAAAATTATAAAAGATAAAATAACATGTGTAAGGACTAAAATATATAATATTGATTAAAAAATGGTGTAACTATTAAATATTAATTAATTTTTTTAATTGTGTAAAGACTTAAAATATTTAATATAAGAGGATGGATATATTATTTTAAAATAAAAGTTAAATTTTTATTATCATTATTTAATATAATAATCTAAAATAATTATTATTTTTGAAATAAGTAAGTGCTAAAGAATAAACAAATTTTTTATCTGATTAATTTATAATATATAAATATTTTTTAATATAATAATATTATTTTAATTTAAAAAAAATTATCATTTATAATGTCTAATAAACCTATATATTAATTTAGTTTAATTTTATTATTTAAATAAACTAGTTCAAAATTTTATTTAGACTATAAATTTAATTTGTCTAATTTAATCTATTTCTTTAACTTTTTGGACCCTTATTATGTTAACTACATTTTTTATAACTTTATAATTGTAGTAAAATTTAATTGTATCTTAGACAAATGATATTTTAAAATTATATGAATTAAAAATATAAATTTCAACTTATTCGTACCCTTTATAAAAAATTTATTAATTTAATTATTAACCTTAAGTATCAATAAGTTATAATATTTTTCTAAAAATATCTTTAACAAATTTATTCATTTAATATTAGACACCTAATTAATAATATTTAAAACGAGAATAATAATTATATATTTTATTTACTTTTCTCAATTCTAAAAATTGTAATAAAAATAGTATTTTAATTTTTATCCTAATAATTATTTTTGTGATTCAACCTATACGATCAACATTAGCCTCTTATAAATTAGGTAACGAATTTTGTTATGTATTTGACAAATTATCCAGTAAAAAAATAGAGAAATAATTATTAAAATAAAAATAAAAATAAATCTAAATATTAAAAGTATCTTTAAAGAACATAACGATATAATTTATAATATATTATTTAAAGTTAAGATGTATATCTCTCATTATTTAAAGTATGAGTTGAGAGAAGGATTGAAACGCGAGTGGGAGAAATGATTTAAATTGATTAAGATTAACAATAATAATAATAATAAGAAGAAGAAGAAGAATGAGAATGGTGAGGTACTTGCACGGAGTTCGGTGGTGACAGGGTACTCATCCATGTCGACGTAGTTTTTGTTAATGGCAGACCATTATGAGTTTATTGCATTCGGACTCCATCCACTTCATCACAAAGGACGCCGGGTTCAGCCTCGGATTTCCTTCCACCATCAACTCGTCGTTTATGATCCGGTACGCCGCTTTCTTCGGGATCAATTGCGAGACGGAGAAGGAAAGAGCTATTAGACAAATGACATCTAGAGGGGGTGAATAGATGCACAAATTAAAATCACTAGTACAAAATAGGCTTTTAACATCGGTTCCCGGGGACTTTTAACATTGGTTCTAGAACCGATGTAGATACGACCGATATAGAAAGTGTGACTTTCCACATCGGTTGTAAGGAACCGATGTAGAAAGTCTAATATTTTTATTTATTTATTTATATATTTTTATTTATTTTATTCATAAAACCCTCTCTAATTACCATATCTATCTCCTCTACCATCCTCTCCCTTTTATATTATATTTTTATTATTTATATTTTTTAGGAATTTGAATTATTATCCAAGATTAACCCAGTACCTTAGAGTCGGAGGGCGATACTCCAACCACTAAGCTACCAGGATTTTCCGATAATAACTTATACATAAATTATATTTATATACAAATAAAAATGTATATCCATGTAAATATATAAATATAAATTATATAAATACAAATACAAATATATTTATATATTTATATGTTGGATGTGAGGACGCAGCTCGAGGATGAAAGTGTGTGTTGAGTGAATTTTCAAAATTTGATGTCAAATTTGTGAGCGGGTCTCTTTATATGGATTATAACTTAATGACAAAATATAATCTTTATAATTTATTTATATAATGATATAAAATAATTTTTTTTCTTTATTTTATATCATTATATAAATTAATTATAAAGATTATATTCTATATTATTATAAATAAATTATAAAGATTATATTCTATCATTAAATTACAAATTCATATAAAGATACTTGCTCACAAATTTGACATCAAATTTTGAAAACCCACTGACACACACTTTCACTCTCGGCGCGCTCTCACATCCAACATATAAATATATTTGTATTTGTATTTATATATTTTATATTTATATATTTACATGGATATACATTTTTATTTGTATATAAATATAATTTATGTAT